CCCTGTTCTCACTTGTACAGCTACTTGAAGACCCCCTCAAAAGGATACAAACTCAAAAATGTACCATTTCACTGCTGTACGTTAGGCAAAAGAAGATCAGAAAATCATAATGTGTTTTAGCTTTATTAAAGACATATTAGACAAACAAGTAGACAAACACATGCTCTATAAAATATACATTCTGATGTGTGACAAAATATAAACAGATACTAAGAAATGACTACACTGAACAATGACTTGGCTTATATCTCTTTTTAGGTACATCTAGTATTAGGGCTGCTCAGACTGGCATTATCCAATAGGGGAAAAAAATAATAGTGGAAAGTAGAGGGTAAAAATAAGTCTCACCATTGTAAAGAGGACACAGTAAACAGCAAAGAGACATTCCAAGAGTACTTGACCATGTGATGATCAATTTCTCTTTCAAGATAGTTACAGTTCATAGAGGATCACTTTACTCCTTTATCTGAAAACAGGCACAAGTCAAGCTGTTTCTTCACCTTCACCCTATTCCATCTACACACACACACACCCCCTACCTTACTACTGACAAAACCTCCAGATGTTTCACGGGTTTTCAGGGGTTAAGTGCAGCTTATAATATATCTCTTAGTTCCAAACTCGTTACTTTTGTCAATGAACCAGACAATTGTCCAAAAAAGAAAGAAAATCAAGGCTAACTGATGTTGGTTTAGACTGTACTCCAAACGAAAAAGTTTAAGGTAGAAAAAAGGGGGGAAACATCTGCCACCTGTATGGGGAAAGAGATCACGTAATAGAAAAATGAAACATTACTTGCAGGTTGCCAAAAAAAGAATCTTAGCTCAATCTTCTAAGGTTCAACTGTCTTCACAATTACCTCTATAATCTGTATCAAGAAGCAAAGTAAGAAGAGGATGTGGTGGCCGGGCGCGGTGGCTCAAGCCTGTAATCCCAGCACTTTGGGAGGCCGAGGCGGGCGAATCACAAGGTCAGGAGATCGAGACCACAGTGAAACCCCGTCTCTACTAAAAATACAAAAAATTAGCCGGGCGCGGTGGCGGGCGCCGTAGTCCAGCTACTGGAGGTGAGGAGGAGAATGGCGGGAACCCGGGAGGCGGAGCTTGCAGTGAGCCGAGATCGCGCCACTGCACTCCAGCCTGGGCAACAGCGTGAGACTCCGTCTCAAAAAAAAAAAAAAAAAAAAGAGGATGTGGCATAAAATGACAGTAAATTTACCTGTTATTCCATTACGCTTCTGGCATTTCTGTGGCTATTAAAATGATTAGAAAAGGCCATGACACACTTGGGTAAAATATTGATATAAAACTGAACACCACAATCTCAACCCCATTCTAATTGTAGTCTCACAGATAAGAAGAAACAAGAATAAAAATTATCAAGAGGGCTGGGCACAGTGCCTCATGCCTGTAATCCCAGAACTTTGGGAGGCCAAGGTGGGTGGATCACTTGAGGTCAGGAGTTCAAGACCAGCCTGGGCAACATGGTGAAACCCCATCTCTACTAAAAATACAAAAATTAGCCAGGCATGGTGCCGGGTGTCTAATTAATTCCAGCTACTTGGGAGGCTGAGGCAGGAGAATCGCTTGAACCTGGGAGGTGGAGACTGCAGTGAGCTGAGACCATGCCACTGCACTCCAGCCTGAGCAATAGAGCAAGACTCTGTCTTACAAAAAAAATGTAATCAAGAGTAAAAAAGAGTTTTAATACATTATAGGCTTTTAAATTTGTTAGTATAGTAATGCCACTTATGCTAGTAACTACTTACAGATTTCTTCAGAAGATTAAGCCTAGAATTTCGTGTTTCATGTTCCCAGCTACGAACACAGGTCAGACCCCTTTTGTCAACCAAAGCCCAAAATTATCTGGTTTCCTGAAGAGCTCTAAAATGAATACAAAGGACTTAGAAAGGACAAAGTTTTAAGACTATCAGATTGCTTCTGGGGATTTCCAAAGATAAAAGTGAAAAAGACCTTAAAGGTCATCTTGCCCATATTCCATCTCAATGAAGAAATTTCTTAAACACTATTAACAGATGATGATTTAGCTTCTGTATATACCTTTCCACCAAAAAGGCTGATTATTCCATTATCAGATAAATGTATTAAAGAGCCTACACAAAATTTATTAGCAAGTATATAATACACCTCCCTGTGTATAACTCCTGTCTTCTGGAATAGAATTCTTACTTTTTATGACGACCCTTTAGGTAATTAAAGACTTTTAACACATCTCTGTTTTCATAGGGAAATGGGTGACAGAATCTAAATTGCTTGACATCTTAATGTTCCTTTTACAACCTCACAATGGGCGATGTGAAGACAGCTGTTTTTAAACATGAAAGTTATTCTGAGGTGGCACTTTAGGGGAACTTGCACACTGGAATGGGTTCCCGCTATTTTTTTCAAGAGAGTAGCTTGTATACTAGGGAAAGTACTGCAGGGTGCGGTGGCTCATGCCTATAATCCCTGCACTTTGGGAGGCCAAAGAGGGGAGATTGCTTGAGCCCAGGAGTTTGTGGTCAGCCTGGGCACCAAGGTGAAACCCCATCTCTACAAAAAAATACAAAAATTAGCTGGGTGTGGTGGTGCAGCTACTCAGGTGGTTGAAGTGGAAGGATCACTTGGGCCTGAGATATTGAGGCTGCAGTGACGACAGTGAGCCACGATCACACCATTGCACTCCAGCCTGGGTGACACGGTGCAACCCTGTCTCAAAAAAATAAAAAGTTGCGGAGTAACAGAGAGCCAATGGCATAAATGTAGACCCTGTGCCAGTAGGGCACGGAGTTCAAGGAATACTGTCTTTTTTTCCAGGTAGACTTGGAGAATCGGCCTGAAAGGGGACAAACAAATCAAGAGAATTTATGTATTCCTACTGAAATAAAGTGCTCACTAGGGGGCAGTGGGGAAAGGAGGTATTTCTCTCAGCATTTCAGTTAACCTTGCTTTGCAACATTCCTGATTAGCATTAAGCAGACATGATTCTGCTGGAAGAAATACTCATGGGACACTAATCCTGCTTAGAGGGTTAACATACTGCTTGATCAAAAACATACGCAATAATGAAAAGTTTCAGGAATTCCTTTTCCTAGGGGTGTGTGTGTGTTTATTTAAGATAGGCTCTTCACATTTAAATAGATTGCTGACTAGTTATTTAGGCAAGCTAGGAATATCTAAGAAGGACATCTCAAGCATCTGAGTTGACATAATGGAAAATGACCTGGCTCTTTAGGAGACCAGACTCTGACAGCACTGTCAGTAGAAGGACCACTGCTAGAGCAGAGAGGCAGCACTCCTACACGGGTTTGTTTAATTTTTTATTTTTTATTTTTGATATGGAGCCTCACTCTGTCACCAGGCTGGAGTGCAGTGGCACGATCTTGGCTCACTGCAACCTCTGCCTCCTGGGTTCCAGCGATTCTCCTGCCTTAGCTTCCCGAGTAGCTGGGACTACAGGTACGCACCACCACACCCAGCTTATTTTTGTATTTTTAGTAGAGATGGAGTTTCACCATGTTGGCCTGGATGGTCTCAATCTCTTGACCTCGTGATCTGCCCACCTCAGCCTCCCCGAGTGCTGGAATTACAGGCGTGAGCCACCGCGCCCGGCCTCCTACACAAAGTTTTCTAGAGCACTGGCTCACAGGCTGTCGTCTGCCCTCTCACACACGACCGCTGATGCTCACTGGCACAGTCTCTGGCAGCCTCGCCCTAACTCCACCTTTTCCATTCAGGAAATCTATCAGAATTTGAGCGAGAGTAATATAATTATAGGGATAACTTTGAATACATTGGAAAGGTGAGTCACAAACTAGTTACAAATTAGTTGTGGTAGACCTGTCAACTCATTCTGATACTGTAGTGTGCTATAAAACCAGCATTCAGACATTCTGCTCTGGAGAGCAATGGGCGGTTTTTCCACTGAGTCAAGATTCTTTGTTTACTAACACTGTTTAGAAGCAGAATTTTTTTCTCCTAATGAGTATTTCTTAGACCATTACTCCTGCTATATATAAAGGAAATATATCTGGCTCAAGTCAGAATGAGCAGCATCACTCTTGTTCTACTCGAACAAATGTCACGAAAGCAGCTTTTTATTAAAGTAGCATAATCCTCCTTAGCTCCTGGAGGGAATTACAGATTCATAGAATGTTACAGCTGGAAAGGGCTTTACAGCATCTAGAAAAATGTCCTCAGGCCGGGCGCGGTGGCTCACGCCTGTAATCCCAGCACTTTGGGAGGCCGAGGCGGGTGGATCACCTGAGGTCGGGAGTTCAAGACCAGCCTGACCAACATGGAGAAACCCTGTCTCTACTAAAAATACAAAATTAGCTGGGTGTGGTGGCACATGCCTGTAATCCCAGCTACCAGGGAGGCTGAGGCAGGAGAATTGCTTGAACCTGGGAGGCGGAGGTTGCGGTGAGCCAAGATTGTGCCACTGCACTCCAGCCTGGGCAACGAGAGTGAAACTCCGTCTCAAAAAAAAAAAAAAAAGAAAAATGTCCTCATTTCATAAATGAGAAAATCTAGCCTAGAGAAGAAAAAGACTCACCCTTGATTACAAAGTTAGTAACAAGCAGAGTCAGGAAGCGAACGAGGTCTAAATTCTGAGTCAGTCTAGTACAGACTACACCATAATCCAGTAAGAAAGGAAGAAAAGGGATCGCAGATTGAAGGGACAGGAAATTGTGATCTTTAAGAAGTTCAAAGTGAAAATGATCAGAGGCTGACATATTAAAGAAAAAGGTGTGGCAGTACTAAACAGCTCAAGAAGGGCTGCTGCCTGTGGATGAACACTTAGGATTGAAAATAAGAATAAATGCTCAACTTTCTGGCAAAAAGTTGAGAAATTATGTGAGTTTAGAACCCTTGAACAAGAACTTAAAAATAGACATTTAAGTGGCTGAAATTATCTAGTGAGTAATACTGGATTTAGAGGAGGGAACTGGACAGCTTGTGTAAGGAAATCTGAAAGCACAAAGAAGGAATTACATTGCATTAGTGTGAAGTTCTTTATTTACCTAAAGCTCTTTCGTATAGAAATTGAAGAAAACTTTTTGGCTTAATCACTTATACAAAACAAGGACCACTCCAAGGCTTTACAGTATAAAAATTTTGGGTTTGGGCGAGTGGCTCATGCCTGTAATCCCAGCACTTTGGGAGGCCAAAGAGAGCAGATCACCTGAGGTCACGAGTTTGAGACCAGCCTGGCCAACATGGTGAAACCCCATCTCTACTAAAAATACAAAAAAAACCAACTCGGAAATGGTGGTGTGCCTGTAATCCCAGCTACTCGGGAGGCTGAGGCAAGAGAATTGCTTGAACCTGGAAGGCAGAGGTTGCAGTGAGCCGAGATCATGCCACTGCACTCCAGCCTGGGTGACCAAGATGGACTCCATCTCAAATTAAAAAAAAGAATGTTTGCATGTTTGTCTACTCCCAAGAGCACTCTTCCCTTCTTAAGATATACTGTGCACTGGTAAAAGATTAAAAACAAAACAAACTCAGCTAAGAAGCAATCTTTGGTTTCCTGGTCAATGAAGAACTTTGCTGAAAGAAGATATTCCCATTTAGAGAAAGCACAAAGTGAACACAACTAGAAACAACTAAAACTCAGTCTGGTATTTCAATACTGTGTCATAACAGCCAGACAACTTTCCAGCTGTTCTCCAAGACAGAAAACTCAGATTCTGACAATGAAGAAGATGGATGTGGCCCAGTGCAGAAGTCAGACGGACCAATTGGTTCCAGAAGATTTCTACTTGCAAATAATCTGAGTGATGAAGATTACAGGCTTATGAGTGATAACAATTTGCTAGGCATTATAGGTGAAGTACAGAAGAGTTGCTGAGAAGGTTACAACAAATTAAAGAGGATTCCCCACAAGAATCAGGTGAAAGCAGAGGTGGATAATGTCTAGTACTAGTAATGAGTCTGTAATAAAGTGGCTTACCTCTTTTGAACAAACTGAAAATATGACAGGAAGTGAGCAAAGAGAAAACCAAGCTTGGACAGCAGTGAGCCAGAGTAATCCATATAGTGGTAATTTCAGATTCAATGTAGGGATCAATTTTATCCTTAATAATGGAAGGCTGAATACAGCAAATAAATATGCATCATCTGCAAGACTTCCCAGGGGAGAAAATGAGGAAAACAGTCAGAGGAAAAAGTAGAAAATATGGGTGCAGCACACCAACATGGCACAAGTATACATATGTAACAAACCTGCACGTTGTGCACATGTACCCTAGAACTTAAAGTATAATAAAAAAATAAGAAAGTGGAAAATCCACAATCTGAGTCAACATTTGCAAGGCCACCCAGGTCAGGTACAAAGTGCGACAGAAGTATTAATGAAAGTTCCACTTACCAGAGGTCAGAGAAGACTGAGAAGCAGGAGGCCAGACCAATGGAGAACTAGAGCGAGAAACAAAAGTAGGTTGCCTCCAAATTCACGGTAAGAAATTTCACAAATATTTCATGACAATACACCATCTCAGACTTTTCAATGACCCCTGGTAAATGAGACAGAGATTTTCTAGAACTCAGCTACATGAGACATTGAGAGAGTAAATAACTGACCCATAGTTGCAAAGTGGGCATCTTTTTGCAGCTTTTGGAACATGGAATACCTTTTCAGGAGAACATTCTCCAGACATAATCAGAAATGGTGAATCTGGGGCACTGAGACTGAGAAATCCAGTCATAGTCCTGGCTGTGATAGTAGGAAGAGTTCATCATAGAGAATATTTGCCAAGATATAGCACGCCTAAGAGAACCCAGTTAACAACTCCAACACCAAACAACAGTCACTTTAGAAAGTGAACAACGAGGACTCAGAAATAATATTTTCACATTCTGAGCAAGCAGGTGTGAGAACCTATTTCACTACCAACAGAATTCCTATTCACAGAATTTCAAATACTCATTTAATACACCTGTTGCAACTCAAAGAGCATTAAAGCAAATAATGACAAGATGTGCAGACTCAAATACGGACAGTGATAGTGATTTATATCCTAGCGGCTCACCCCAGTCAGAACATGGCAAGAGCAAAGTCACAGATTGAAAGAGATGGTTCTGATATCAGCAACTGTTCTGGCTCCAGGTCATGTCACAGTACTGCTTATGATTCTGACTCAAGTTCTGCAATCTTTAAATCAGCCTCCAGTTTTTGAAGCGTTCATTATACATAAAGTAACAACCCGATCTAACTCACTGGTTTCTGAAGGAATGACTGAACTTTCCTCAATCAATTTCTGTTTCAGTAAAAAAGAGGGAAGTGGGGAGCAAGAGGGGAAGGAAATGAAAGGAATTTCCAAACGAGTTTTCTTCTAGGTACATACAGCTGTGACAGGACTGCCAGGCTCCGAAAGAACAAGCTTTTTATGTTAGAAAGGGAGTATCACCTAGCACTTTTAAACAGATGGCAAATGACCAGAAGTATGAACCTCTAGGCCTGAAGAAGGCAGTTAATTACACCAAGACTGTGTTTATGTGTATACAATCACCAAGCAGCTGCCTCTACAGATACACTTCTTAACAAGTAAGTTTTTAAAACTTTTTATTTATTTTATTTATTTTTGAGCCAGGTCTCGCTTTGTCACCAGGCTGGGGTGCAGTGGCTTCACATAGCTCACTGCAGCCTTGATTTCCCGGGCTCAAATGACCCTCCCACCTCAGCCTCCCAAGTAGCTAGGACAACAACAGCATGCCACAATGCCCAGCTATTTTTTAAATTTATTTTTTGCAGAGACAGGGTCTCACCATGTTGCCCAGCCTGGTCTCAAATTCCTGGCCTCAAGCAATCCTCCCACCTTAGCCTCTCAGAATGCTGGGATTACAGGTGTGAGCCACAGTTTTTATACTTTAAATAAAATTTTTAGATATCATTAAATCAAGTTATTTAAAATCTGTGATCTGAGAAGCTACTTGTCAATATTATAACTGAATATTATATATAATTTTGGCATATCAAAAATATTTACATTGCAGCCAACACATATGGTCAATGAATACAAAAATTATTTATAAATGTACATATATTTACAGTGACATCCCTGGGCAATAGGGACAAAAAAAAATTCACAAGAATACAAAAACCTTTGACCTGGTACCAGTTGGTCAAGTCTGGGATTCTTGCCAAAGACCTTGAATATCAAAGCCCCAGTCTCAACTATCTGCCTGAAACCACTGAAGAATCCCAGGCACACTTCCCACAAGGCTCCAAAGTTATTTTTGCTCCTTGGAAGGCAAAGCAGAACATCCAAGTAGTGATGTTTTCTCAGGACCATTCTGAAGACTAGGGCAATCCAGCAGGTTAAGCAGCAATGTGACTCTTCCGACAGGCAGATGCACACTGGGGCACATCCCCATGGAACCATCAGGAAGCACATTTGCCCCGTATCTTCCCTCTGCCGATGCTGCACATTTTTGATGAGCCGTACCCATTTCTGTCAGCTGTTACCATTTCTTCATCAGGTATAAGACCAAACAACGCATGGCCCACCTTGGTGCAGTCAGATGCAATCATAAAGAAAGAGTAAAGCAAATGCTGACTTTGGAGTTTCTTCTGAGCTCTGAGGTAGTAAATGCAAAATTAATTAATGAGTCTCTGCCCAGATTTCATCCTGAAGTGGGTTTCATGTGCCTTCACTACCATCTTGAATGTTCCGAGTCCTACTAAAATCAAAACCATGATCCTGTAACCTGTGGCAGGACATGGAAGAAGCCGAACAGTCTGGCTCCAGCCCTGCCAAGCCCTCATTTTGATGAAGTTGTGGTGACTCATGGACTGGCTGCTGGGAAAAAGGAGGATGAGGCAGGCCTAGTTCTCTGTTTATGTTCCAGACGGGCCGCTGCAATGTTTCTGAGAATGAAAGACAAGAATTATCAGTAGTGACTGGTAAAACAATATCCTTTTAGCCAAATCCTCAAAGAAATAAAGATGTTCAATATTCCTGAATAAGGACACTGAAATCAAACACATACAGTCACACGCGTGCACACGCACCCACCCCCACCCCACCACCCCACCCCACCACCCCCACCACCACACCCCACCGCCCCCACCGCCACCACCCCCACCACCACCCCCACCGCCACCACCCCCCCCCCCCCCCCCCCGCCCCCCCCCCCCCCCCCCCCCCCCCCCCCCCCCCCCCCCGCCCCCCCCCCCCCCGCCGCCCCCCCCCGCCGCCCCCCCCCCCCCCCCCCCCCCCCCCCCCCCCCACCCCCCCCACCGCCACCACCACCACCACCACATGGTCTTTCGAATCCCTCTGCTTCACAAACCTAACCAATTATTTACTGAGATCATACTATATATCATGTACTTTCACACTGAAATCAAACACAGTCACACGCGCGCACGCGCACACACCACCACCACCACCACCACCACCAGAACATGGTCTTTCAAATCCCTCTACTTCACAAACCTAACCAATTATTTACTGAGATCATATTATATATCATGTACTTTCACCTGTTATTTTAGTGGTTCTGTTGCCAAAAATTTTTTTATTTTATTTTTTTTTTTGAGATGGAGTTTCGCTTTTGTTGCTAGAGTGCAATGGCGTGATCTCGGCTCACTGCAACCTCCGCCTCCCGGGATCAAGCAATTCTACTGCCTCAGCCTCCCAAGTAGCTGGGATTGCAGGCATGTGCCACCATGCCTGGCTAATTTTGTATTTTTAGTAGAGACAGGCGTTTCTCCATGTTGGCCAGGCTGGTCTCGAACTCCCAACCTCATGTGATCTCTCTGCCTCAGCCTCCCAAAGTGCTGGGATTACAGGCGTGAGCCACTGTGCCCAGCCACAAGATTTTTAAATAAAACTCTTTAGACACATGTAAAAGAACTAAAAGACAAAACGGTATCCATATTGTAATGAAAGTTTCATGATAGATAATAATCATTGATTCAGTGCAGCCATTACATCTTTAAATATGTCACAAAATTGTTTTAAAAATAAACGGCCATTCCCTTCCAACTCCTAGCATGTCAACAATTCTAACAACAAATGATAGCCAAAGGAGCTATATTAAATCAAATTATCTGCACACTGGTTTCAAATATGCATTTCTCATTCTTCTTTAGTACAATAGTGAACTATTTTCCCAAAGACTGTTTACTGAAAATTATATTAACTTCATGGGTGCATTTTGGAAAAAGCTAGCCAAACATTATAAAAACAAATACCCAGAAAAAAAAATAAAATCCATGTGAAAAGTAAGCTAGATCAGGGTTTCTCAAGTTTTAATTAATATGCACACAAATAACTTGAGGATCTTGTTAAATGTAGACTCTGATTTGCTAGGTCTGCGCTGGGATCATTCTAACAAGCTCTTAGGTAATGGTGATGCTGATAGTCAATAGACCTGACTTTGAGTAAGAAGAAGCTAGGATACCCTAAGTAAAAAATGGCCAATGCGCCAAAGCACTTTCATTTGCTGATTTCCTTACTTACGGACCAGTTTAAAAATTAAGGCATCCCTAAAGTTAGAAAAAAGATGGACTACATTTCTGGTCCTTCTTAAACCCTTTTTGTGTTAACTCTTCTAAGACATCCAACTTAAAGTGGATTTACTGTTGATGCATTTCTTTCATGAACACTTAATGTAAAGATTAAGAGATTTAACTTCAATAATAATAGTGCTTCAATAATAGTGCTTTCCTCTGACCTGTAACCTCTTTGGAAGACTTTAATCTCTTAAGAACAACAGGCCGGGCGCAGTGGCTCAAGCCTGTAATCTCAGCACTTTGGGAGGCCGGGACAGGCGGATCACGAGGTCAGGAGATCGAGACCATCCTGGCGAACACGGTGAAACCCCGTCTCTACTAAAAAATACAAAAAACTAGCCGGGCGAGGTGGCGGGCGCCTGTAGTCCCAGCTACTCGGGAGGCTGAGGCAGGAGAATGGCGTAAACCTGGGAGGTGGAGCTTGCAGTGAGCTGAGATCCAGCCACTGCACTCCAGCCTGGGCAACAGAGCGAGACTCCGTATCTAAAAAACAAAAAAAAAAAAAAGAGACTGGGTGCAGTGGCTCATACCTGTAATCACACCACTTTGGGAGGCTGAGGTGGGTGGATCACCTGAGGTCAGGGGTTCAAGACCAGCCTGGCCAACATGGTGAAACCCTGTCTCTATTTTTAAAAAATACAAAAAATTAGCCGGGCGTGGTGGTGGGCACCTGTAATCCCAGCTACTCAGGAGGCTGAGGCAGGAGACTCGCTTGAACATGGAAGGCAGAGGTTGCAGTGAGCCGAGATCGTGCCACTGCACTCCAGCCTGGGCAACAGAGCGAGACTCTGTATCTTAAAAAAAAAAAAAAAAAGCGAGCATATCTTAGAAACTTTCACAGATGGTTCTGGCAGGAGTAAATGATCTAATGTGGGACATGAAGTAGTAAATGCAAAATTAATAAGTCTCTGGCCAGATTTCATCCTGAAGAGAGTTTCATGTACCCTCACTACCATCTTGAATGTTCCAAGTCCTACTAAAATCAAAAGCATGATCCTGTAACCTGTGGGACATAATCAAACGTGGGACATTAGATCATTCACTCCTGCCAGAACTATCCCCAGGAGTATCACAGTATACTTTGCCTTCCTCTGGAAACCTGTAGTTCTCACCTCCTACCCTATCTTTGTTGTTGTTGTTGTTTTCAGACAGAGTCTCACCCTGATGTCCAGGCTGGAGTGCAATCACTCAATCTCAGCTCACTGCAAACTCCACCTCCTGGGTTCAAGTGATTCTCCTGCCTCAGCCTCCCAAGTAGCTGGGATTACGGGCGCCCACCACCATGCCCAGCTAATTTTTAATTTTTTTAGTAGAGATGGGGTTTCACTATGTTGTCCAGGCTGGTCTCGAACTCCTGACCTTGTGATCCACCCGCCTTGGTCTCCCAAAGTGCTGGGATTACAAAAGTGAGCCACTGCACCCAGCCTGACCTCCTACCCTATTCCAGTGCTCCTGCATGTCAGGCTGACAGAAGGATGAAAGCTGATGAAAAGCTTGGATGGACAGGAAGACATGCTCAGCATTACTCTCCATGATCTAGAAAGAGTTTTGTTTCAAATGCCAAGTGGTTATCAAATGCCTAATCTATACAGTATAATGTATATTTCTTTTCCTGGGCCATGTGAGACAGGGGACACAAGCCCAAAACTGCATTCTCACTTATGACCTTGATCGTACCTCATAGAAGAAAACACTCGCCAAGTGAAGCTGAGCTTAAATGTTTACCTACTAGAACAGCAACGAAACAAAACATGTTCGCTCGAACCTGGGAGGCAGAGGTTGCAGTGAGCCGAGATCACGCCACTGGACTCCAGCCTGGGCGACAGGGCTAGAATACATCTCAAATTTAAAAAAAAAAATCTTCTCAGTAGGCCAGGCACGGTGGCTCATGCCTGTAATCCCAGCACTTTGGGAGGCCAAGGTGGACGGATCACCTGAGGTCTGGAGTTCGAGACCAGCCTGAGCAACATGGAGAAACCCCATCTCTACTAAAAATACAAAATTAGCTGGGCATGGTAGCACATGCCTGTAATCCCAGCTACTCGGGAGGCTGAGGCAGAAGAATTGCTTAAATCTGGGAGGCGGAGGTTGTGGTGAGCCAAGATTGCGTCATTGTACTCCAGCTTGGGAAACAAGAGCAAACCTCCATTTCCAAAAAAAAAAAAAAAAAATCTTCTCAGTAAAAACCATCACCAAATTATGCCGAAATTTTATTATTACTATTTTTTGGAGACAGAGTCTCACTCTGTTGCCCAGGCTGGAGTGCAGTGGCACGATCTTGGCTCACTGCAACCTCCATCTCTTGAGCTTAAGTGATTCTCGTGCCTCAGCCTCCTGAGTAGGTGGGATTACAGGCGCCCGCCACCACACCTGGCTAATTTTTGTATTTTTAGTAGAGACGGGGTTTCACTATGTTGGCCAGGCTGGTCTCAAACTCCTGACCTCAAATGATCCACCCGCTTTGGCCTCCCAAAATGCTAAAATTACAGGTGTGAGCCACTGCGCCCAGCCCCCCATATTTTATTCTTTATTTAAATAAAGATGGGAGAAAAATTAATACCCTATATGATACCAGGTGTGGTGGCTCACACCAGTAATCCCAGCACTTTGGGAAGCCAAGGCAGGCAAATCACATGAGGTCAGGAGATCATGACCAGCCTGGCCAACATGGTTAAACCCCATCTCTACTAAAAATACAAAAATTAATTAGCTGGGTGTGGTGGTGCACGCCTGTAGTCCCAGCTTCTTGGGAGGCTGAGGTACGAGAATTGCTTGAACCGGGAGGCAGAGGTTGGAGTGAGCTGGGATTGCGCCACTACATTCCAACCTGGGCGACACAGCGAGACTCTGTCTCAAATAAATAAATACCCTGTATGAAATGTTTTTGTGTGTGGCCTCTCAATTTTTAGTAGTGTGATGTTGTTACCCCCACAAAAGTTGTTTCCATCCTATAGATGAAGACTTCTTTGTAACCCTAGTATGTAGAAATCTCTGGCTATAGTTTACACCATTTAACAATGGCCAGTTTCTCCTATATACCAATCCGTTTGCTTCCTGTCAAATGAGAGCACTACCTATATGACAGAAGGAAGAGTCAATTAGACGAAAGTAAAAACAAAATAAAAACAAAAATGCATCCCTTACCACCACTCATCGGTGTGGACGGAAGTTTCTTCTCACTTATCCTCTCATGGTTGGTGGGAAAGGCAGATGGCTCTCCGTCAGCTGACGATATCAGGCTCTCTAGGGCAGTAGTATCCTGGGGAAGATGAGCTAAATATGTCTCTTTAGGCACCTGGACCATGAGGCTCGACAGTGTCTGATCAAGAACATCCTCCTCAGAAATATAGGTGTATGGACAGTATTCTCGGGTCCTGGAGTAGATGTTGGCATTGTCATAACAATCTGAGCAAATCACCCGGGTACTAGTGCCACCTAATAACAAGAAAAAGAATCTAAATATCTTTCTGTTAAGGAATTATTTTTTGCCAATCATCAGTTTTCTTCAACGGTTGTCATCATTGCTAGCATGTATTGAGCACTTACTTTATAAAGTAGGTGAAGTTTCAAGCCCTTTCTGTGAATTGATTCATTAATCCTCACAACATCCTTATGAGGTAGGTATTATTATTATCCCCACTTTACAGACAGGGTAAACTATAGCACAGAGAAGTTAAGTAACTTAACCAAAGTCATACTGCCAGAGTGAGGAGCAGAAACAGCCATTCTGGCTCCAGAGCCCATGCTCTTGAAAACTACACTGAAACATATCTATCGTGGATGGATAGATCATGCCCAAATCAAGGGAGCAAGATAAAGCTGGTACTGTGCTACAAGACACATGCTTGGCTTAAGCAAACTAAGAGAATAAGGAGTTATGACTTCACTTCATGAAAAACCATGTTACTTTCATGAGTCAAGAGGTTAAGTAACACCAATTGCTACAAGCATCCCTAGAGAAAGCTTCTGACAATGAGTCCTGCCTGACAAGTACATGGTTGACAGAAGTATAGGTTTAATAATGAACTCCCTGGATTATTATGTGCTTTGAAAACTGAATGATGAAGGAGAGAAGAGAGAGAGAGAAATAGAGTGAGTCACTTATTCAAAATCATGCAACAGGCTAGGAGCAGTGGCTCACGCCTGTAATCCCAACACTTTGGGAGGCCGAGGCAGGTGGATCACCTGAGGTCTGCAGTTTGAGACCAGCCTGGCCAACATGGTGAAACCGTGTCTCTACTAAAAATACAAAATTAGCTGGGCGTGGTGGTGGGTGCCTGTAATCCCAGCTACTCGGGAGGCTGAGACAGGAGAATCACTTGAACCTGGGAGGCAAAGGTTACAGTGAGCTGAGATGGCGCCATTGCACTCCAGCCTGGGTGACAAGAATGAAACTCTGTCTCAAAAAAACAAAAAAACAAAATCACGCAACAGAATGTTAGAACTGGAAGAGAGTGAAAAGTAATTTAGTTTAACCCAGAAAGCAGTGTTATTTCCCACATATTTCAAAGAATAGACTTTTAAGTATTCTTTTAAAAGTCAGAAATGCTGGCGAGGTACGGTGGCTCACGCCTGTAATCCCAGCACTTTGGGAGGCCAAGGCAGGCAGATCACAAGGTCAGGAGTTCAAGACCAGCCTGACCAACGTGGTGAAACCTGTCTCTACTAAAAATACAAAAATTAGCCGGGTATGGTGGCACGCACCTGTAATCCCAGCTACTCGGGAGGCTAAGGCAGAGGAATTGCTTGAACCTGTGAGGTGGAGGTTGCAGTGAGCTGAGATTGTGCCACTGCACTCTGGCCTGGGTGACAGAGTAAGACTCTTTCTCAGAAACAAGAAAAGAGTCAGAACTACTATATTTTTCATGAAAAGCCAAAATAAAATCCCATTTATCAATTAGATAAAGTTCTGTTGACACTCAGTCTAAAAAAGTATCTGAAGAAATGGAATATATCTTTCATTTGTATAGTATTTGAAGTACCACAAAGATTTGTAAAAAAGATCTGTGAGAATCTTGGGGGAAGTGCTTTACAAACTATTGTTTCTTTGTTTAAAAATTAGAAAAGTAAAGCTCAGATCTTAAGTAACTAGTTCATGGTCACAGAGCTGGAAAAAGGAAGAAGTATCAGTCAAACCCAATTCTTCTATCCCTTAATTCATTCAGTTCTGTCACTCCCTATGGGAGCGAGGGTATGAAAAGGGTGGAGGGAGAAGAGCTCTGTGTATGAGTACGCATCTCTACATGTTGGGATGTAGGTTCATTTAATTAGAGAACTCTTTACATCTCTCTGATATATGCTGAGAACCACTGCTACCCTTTGTTGATTTTTTTAGAGGTAGGGAGTCTTGCTGTGTTGTCCAGGCTAGAGTACAGTGGCTATTCATTGGTGTGCTCACAGCATGATATAGTCTCAAACTCCTGGCCTCAAGCGATCCTTCTGCTTCAGCCTCATGGATAAATGGGACTACAGGCGTGCCACCATGCCTGGCTCTTAGATACCCTTTAAACTTTACTGAATGTCTACCTGTCAGGAAGAGAAACCAGCTTTCCTTGGATGTGGTCTGAAGGATGCCCCCGCCTGAAAAGGGTAAGAAAGAGATACCTGAAAAAAGTTTCCAGAACATCCCTTTCCTATAATTACACAAGTTTGGGAGCCTCTGCTGTGTACTCTAATCTCTTGTTTAATGTGTTTCTCCACTCTGTAAGATGATTTTCTTATCCTGTTAAGACTTTAGTCAATTTTCATCCTATTTTGCATGTGGCTAAATGCTTTCATTAGGTATCTTACTTTAAAATATTGCTTCAGATTAATGGAGAAACTACACACTGAAAAATAAACTCGATAGATGAGGCTGAAATTGTAACCATAAACAACAGAGTCATTACCATCAGTGCCTTTGTGTATATATCCATTGGCAGGAGGCATAAGTTGCTGGTGACTGCCTGCCTCAGAGTTGCTGTAGCCTTCCTGTGGCTCAGACAGCGTTCCTTGGGAAGACAAGTAGCTGGGAATGTCTGCAGGCAGATTGAGCTCCTCTGTAAAAGAGACATTTTTAACTCTCAAAGGTAGGCAGTTGAAGTCAACACTCAGAAGACTGTTTTGCAAATGTGTTCCACTTGGATACTATATTTTTTTTTTTTTTTTTCTGAGACGGAGTCTCGCTCTGTCGCCCAGGCTGGAGTGCAGTGGCAGGATCTCAGCTCACTGCAAGCTCCGCCTCCCGGGTTCACGCCATTCTCCTGTCTCAGCCTCCCGAGTAGCTGGGACTACAGGCGCCCGCCACCTCGCCCGGCTAGTTTTTCGTATTTTTTTTTTTTAGTAGAGATGGGGTTTCACCGTGTTAGCCAGGATGGTCTCGATCTCCTGACCTCGCGATCCGCCCGTCTTGGCCTCCCAAAGTGCTGGGATTACTATTAGCAAGAAAAACTGTATGTACCTAGGACCCTGACAGCTCTTGGTACTTCCCCTAAAACTATTTCTCACTAGAATTCTTCTCAAAGTTTCACCAAAAGAAACAAAACCTAAAGGTTGAAATCTTATCTACTGCCACACTTTCATAATCTATCTGACTAGATTTCTTTTCTTGCAGGATTTCAGGGTGAGAGGTGTAAAAGACTGACCTCAACAATCCAGTTTGATATTCAAGGGAAAAAAAAGACTGATCTCAATCGCAAGGGATCCATTCTTCCTTACAGCAAAATTATGATGAAAAGGAGCCTTTGACATTAAAGAGAATGCATCTGTAATGCGTTTTTAAGAGTCAAGTTTGGCCAGGCATGGTTGCTCACGCCTGTAATCCCAGCCCTCTGGGAGGCCAAGGCGGGCAGATCATAAGGTCAAAAGATTGAGATCAACCTGGTCAACATGGTGAAACCCCGTCTCAACTAAAAACACAAAAATTAGCTGGGCGTGGTGGCACACGCCTGTAGTCCCAGCTACTTGGAAGGCTGAGTCAGGAGAATCGCTTGAACCCGAGAAGTGGAAGTTGCATTGAGCCGAGATCATGCCACTGCACTCCAGCCTGGCAACAGAGTGAGACTCCATCTCGGAAAAAAAAAAAAAAAGTATTTACAAATTCTTAAAATTGGTCAGACGTAGTGGCTCATGCCTATAATCCCAGCACTTTGAGAGGCCAAGGCAGACAAACTGCTTGAGCCCAGGAGTTCGAGACCAGCTTGGGCAACATGGCAAAACCTGACTCTACTAACAACATAAAAAATTAAGTGCGGTGGCACATGCCTATAGTCTCCGCTTCTCAGAAGGCCAAGATGGGAGAATCACCTGAGCCTGGGAAGTCAACGCTGCAGTGAGCCGTATACACTCTGACCTAGGCATTAGAGTAACACCCTATCTCAAATAAACAACAAATTCTTTCAAAATTATAAAAAGTGACAGGGGGGGGGGTCGGAAGCATGGAGGGAGAGGCGACAATCAAGATAATCCTCAAATGTGAAACCCTCCTAAACAAAATAGGAGGTCTTGTCCTATCAGAGAGGAAGGGTAACGAGGAGTTCATAGTAGATCCACACACCTGGCAAGAGCAACCCGTCTCAAAAAAAAAAAAAAAAAAAAAAAAAGAAGTTGAACATTTTAACAACAAAAACTCCCTTCCATCACATATCAGGTAATGTATCACAGCTCTTCAGTTTTTTGAGGGGAAGATGAGGTCTCGCTATGTTGCCCAGATGGGCCTTGAACTCCTGGGCTCCTTTTTAGTAGCATGTGTCTTGGTTGTTTTTTTTTTTTTTTTTTTTTTTTGAGAGGAGTCTCGCTCTGGCCAGCTGGAGTGCGTGCGGATCTCAGCTCACTGCAGTCCCTCCCACCCATTCCTCCTCAGCTGAGTAGCTGGGACTACAGGGCCATGAGCTAGTTTTATTTTTGTAGAGACTACCATGTTACCGATGTCACCTACCTCGTGACCTCTCGCTCAAAGGCTGTTACTGACCCCCCCCCCACCTGTTTTTATACTGTACAATTAATCCTATACTACATTCTTGACTCAAGTACAAGCCATAGGTGTCATGTGGGTACTACTTACCTGTGTTTGTGATACTATAGTCTTCATTTTTCCTTCTCATGTGGTAAATAACAATGACCCAGATCAAAGAAGTGCCAACAACACAGCAGACCACAACAATGATGACAATGCCAACTGTAGTCCAGCCATCATCTTCATGCCCAATGCTACTCTGAGAAGAGTCACAATTGGGGGATGAAATGACATTTAGGTAAATGTGGCCACGTTCTGTCCCAAGGGTGTTAGACATAATGCAGGTATATTTTCCAGCATCTTCTAGCCCAGCATCTACAATGATGAGAAGCTGATTGGCTGCAGCAAAGAAATGTCGTTCTGTCACCAGCAAAGGCCCATCATCTTTAGTCCAGTTGAGACGAGGTGCAGGACTCCCTCCAGCTATGCACTGTAACACCGCAGTTTCACCTCGGGTTACTGTCTTATCCTCCAGGGGTCTAATAAATGAGGGTGTCTCTAACAGGAAAACATTCAAAAAAAAAAATGAAAAGTTAGGCAGTTTTATTCCCTAATTCCTACTGAATTAGATCAATGAGGGTATAATAAAATGAGTAATTTTATATACTCATAGGAGGATTAGAAGTTAATGTTTCAGAACAAAATCCTGACAAAAGCCTCAATCGTTTCTCAGTAATTCCAGCTTAGGCAAGCTATCCTAAGTAAGAAATTCAGGGCAGCTGCAATAGCTGGAGGAGGTGAGCAGGGGTGACCCATTAAAAAAGGTTAAAAATAACTTAAAAAAAAAATGAAATTCAAAGATTTATATGCAAAGATGTTTACTACAAAATTTGTAATTTTAAAGAATAAAGAAAAATATTTTAAAACCTAGCAGAAAAATGATTAAGTAAATTATAGTATAGTCACATGATGTTTTACAAAGACTTTAATAACAAGGTAACTTGTGGTACAATATTAAATGAAAAAAATGTAGGTATATTTAACTACATAAAAGTGAGAGGGGAAAGTCTAGAATATGCTAAAATCCTTCAGTGTCTGAGTGACTTTCCTCCCCTTTTCCTAATTTTCTGTATATCTTAACATGCTAAAACAATAAATGACTTATTTTTCTAAGGCTGAGGTGGGCGGATCACGAGATCAGGAGTTCAAGACCAGCCTGACCAACATGGTGAAACCCTGTCTCTTAAAAAAAATACAAAAACTAGCTGGGCGCAGTGGTATGTGCCTGTAGTCCCAGCTACTTAGGAGGCTGAGACAGGAGAATCGCTTGAACCCGGGAAGTGGAGGTTGCTCTGAGCCGAGATCGCACCACTGCATTCCAGTCTGGGTGACAGAGTGAGACTCCGTCTCTAAATAAATAAATAAATAAATAAATAAATAAATAACTTCTTATTTTTCTGGTTATACAAGTAACACAAACCAACAAAATAATAATAATAATAACTGACATCTAGGAAAATACAGAACTGGAAAGTAGAATTTACCTTGGATTTGAGTTCCATGAAGAAAAGTATTATAACAAGGAAGAAAAAACAAAACAAAACAATAACAAAAAAAAAAAAAACCCAGGCTAGCTGGGGGGAAATGTTTAGGAAAAAAGGCATTTTACCAGAAATAGGGTTAAGAAGAACACACTGAAAAGGAAAGCAGAAACTCTAACTAGAAAATACATTTTTTGTTTAATTTTTTTTGAAAATGAACTAGGAGCAAACAGTCAGGTTCCTATCAAGCAATAAGTGAAGCAGCATCAAATGGCTGGGATACTCCTAAGAGAACAGTGGAACTCTCAATGCAAACTCACTGAATGGTAAACACACCTACATGAAATAGAAACCTTACAGTGAGGGACTTGAAAAAGTAAGTTGATAAAGGAATTTGAACTTTCAATTATTGTGATAAGGATGCCTACCTAATTTTGCCCTATGTATTTTCCCACATTTCAGTTATCTGACCTACTAATTCCTAGACTGACATAACCCTGCATAAAATTGTGAAATAAGATAAAGATCTAAGAATCAGAGAGGTAATCTCAAACTTATTTTTCTTGCTTGTTAAGACCAAGAGTAGATCCCAAAGACTCCAAAAAGAGCAGGGACCCATGAAACAGTAAACGTACCTAACACTGTTAGGGAAGCATTTGCTGAGAGACCTCCTGCTATATTTTGTGCCATGCAGCTATAGATTCCCATATCTTCTATTTTCACGTTGGCAATAAAGAAGACGTCATCTTCGGGCATGACGTGCATGCGTCTTTCTCGAGCCGCAGGGAAGTCAGTACCACCATCTTTCTGCCAGGAAATCTGAGGTGCAGGGTGTCCCTCTGCAGCACATTCTAATCTGGCCATGGCACCAGTGCGAATAGTCAGATCCATTGGCGTTTTCAGAAAAGATGGCATCTCTGTTTCCAGAAAGACCACCAAGAAAAAGTGGGCAGGGGAACAAAGACACATATATATATACAAATAGGCATGAAAGAGTCTAGTAGGCAAAACACCCTGTAATGTTCCATTTCTTTGTGAAGACAAGCTCTCTGATTGAGAGTGAATATGGTTTTATAAATTAAAAAAAAAAAACAAAACCTTTAGAGATAGGGTCTTGCTCTGCCATCCAGGTGGGAGTACAGTGGCGCAATCACAGCTCACTGCAGCTTCAAATTCCTGGCCTCAAGCTATCCTCCCACCTTGGCCTCCCAAAGTCCTGGGACTACAAGCCTGAGCCACAGCACCCGGCCAAGAGTGAATATGGTTTTGAGGCCATCTCTTCTTCCAGAACCTCAGGGTATTTGGAGCACACTGATAACTATGTCTTCTAGGATGCATGATACACTTAATCATCAGCTGGAACTAGGGAAAGCAGAAGGCCACAAACCTTCTTGAACTTCCTATTTTAGAACCTGATATTTACCGTGATTCCCTCACTTATAAAGCTAAATGATGCTTCCCTGGGAGGCTGAGGCAGGAGAATCACTTGAAACCAGGAGGTGAAAGTTGCAGTGAGCCGAGATCATACCACTGCACTCCAGCCTGGGTGACAAAGTGAGACTCCATCTCAAAAACAAAAGATGTTGCCCAAACCAACATCTACAAAAGGAAACTGCATGCTAAAAAAAACTTATGCCTTCAAAAGTATCATTAAAAAACAGAAGCGAAACATAAGTACATCTTTTGGTTGCACAAAGCCTAAAATGTTGTAGTTATTCAATTTGATACGCAATAGATAAATCAAGCTATTTTTGAGAAGCTTTTGCAGGAAAGAAGAGTATTCATTTTTAAAATGATCCTGTGCGGAGTGGAAAACCAAACACCGTATGTTCTCACTTATAAGTGGGAGCTAAGTATGAGTACACAAAGGCATACAGAGTGGTATCATGGACTTTAGAGATTCAGAATGGAGAGGGTGAGCGGGGGGCTAGGGATAAAAAACTACACATTAGATACAATGTATGCTACTTGGTGATGGGTGCACTAAATTCTCAGAATGCACCACTATAATCCATGGGGAAAAAACTCACTTGTACCCCCAAAAGGTACTGAAATAAGGCTGGGTGCAGTGGCTTACACCTGTAATCCAATACTTTGGGAGGCCAAGGCAGATGGATCGCTTGTGCTCAGGAGTTTGAGACCAACCTGGCCAAAATGGTGAAACCTCGTCTCTACTAAAAATACAAAATTTAGGTGGGCCTGGTGGCGCACATCTGTAATTCCAGCTACTCGGAATTACAGGAGACAGGAGAATCACTTGAACCTGGGAGGCGGAAGTTGCAGTGAGCTGAGATCATGCCACTGCACTCCATCCTGGGTGACAGAGTGAGACTCCATCTCAAAAAAAAAAAAAAGAGAAATTAAAATAAATAAATAAAAATACACACACAAACACACAAATGATCCTGTGTAACTACATTTAGACAATGATAATGACCATTAGACCCAAAAATGACCTAGATATTCCCAGTTATTATAAGGCCCATCAGGAATAAATTTTATAGTTATCAAGAGAGATTTATGGTTCTGGAATGAAAACTGAGAATTTCATAAGAATGTCTTCAAAAGCATAAACAGCAGTGAAAACAGCTTATCTCTTAGGGCCACAGCATTTACCCTTCAACCAAAGACCAATTAGAGACCATAAGTGGGCAGACTGACTAATCCAAAAATCCCACCCACTTGACACGTTATCACAACTCAAAAGACAGTAAGAGTCCTGCTTAAATGTCAGGTTTAGCCTAATTCTCTCAAGTGATTCAAAACAGAACATGAAAAATCCTTCTAAACTAAAAAATAATCAAGGAGCATAATTCCTTACCATTTACAGTCAGTTTGGCTTTCTGAGAATAATTAGAACCAAAGTGATTAGTAACAATACACTGATATTTTCCTTCATCTGTGAAATTCACATTGAAAAGATGTAAGATACTAGTATATTCCAGAGCTTCTCCAGCTTGCTGCCGATAACGAACAAAATTCTCAATATCCACGTCATACAGGATTTCACTGTCTTTGCGCCACACAGTGGACATGGGTGAATCACTGCTGCTCACTGCAGTGCACGTCAGAGTCACATTCATGCCTCTTAGAGCAATTATGGTTTCAGGATGTGTCCTTATCTGTGGCTTAAGAAAATCATCTAAGGGGAAAAAAATGCATCCGCAGCCAAGTCAGTTATATATTTTTGCTTTAAATTTTAAAACAAATACTATAAATTTGTGTGTTCTGTTTACAAAGTGGCATATTGAAGTTTAAAGAGACCACAGAGCTAGAGTCCAATTCCCTTGGTTAAAGATGGGGGAAATGAGGCCCAGAAAATTCAAATGACTTGCTCAAAGACATGTCAAGTCAGTGGCAGAGCCTGGACTGGAACTCAAGTTTCCTGACTTCAGGATCCAGCACTTTTCTACTAGCCCTTACTGTCACCTGTGTGCTCGGAATGTATTTCTCAAGCATTATCACTTATTGGGGAAAAACAGAAACCTTATATTAGGATTTCAAGACAAGTTCTACTTCTATTACCCCTTGTATATAATGTATGTGATAGATAAACGTGTATATGGCCAGGAGCGGTGGCTCATGCCTGTAATCCTAGCACTTTCGGAGGTCAAAGTGGGTGGATCACCTGAGGTCAGGAGTTCGAGACCAGCCTGGCCAACATGGCGAAACCCCATCTCTTCTAAAAACACAAAAATTACCCGGGCGAGGTGGCGGGCGCCTGTAATCCCAGCTACTTGAAAGGCTGAAGGAGAATCACTTGAACCCAGGGTGGGGAGGCAAGCTGAGATCATGCCACTTCACTCCAGCCTGGGCAAAAGAGTGAGACTCTGTCTCAAAAAAAAAAAAAAAAAAAAAAAAAAAAATATATATATATATATATATATATATAAAACCATTATCCTTTCTGTGCCAATATAAAATGGGGAGCTTATGAATGATTTATATTTCACAGAGAATACCTAATAAAACAAATTATTTGAAAGCATTTTGTATGTGCACAGGTTTCACCTAAAGCAGTGAAAAAATCCAAATAGGTCAAATGTCCAACTGAAGATTGGCTTAGGACTAGCTAATAAAATATAGATTCATAATTAATAATGTTATTGGACTGACTGAGAGAAGCAGGTATATAAATCTTAACCAGTATCTCCACTGGATAACATTTCATTGTGCCATAAAAGCAGTAAGTGGAAGGGGAGGAAAAAAATATATGGTATGTCTATATTTAAAACTAAGTAAAAAGGGATTGTGTGGCAATGTCAGCAGAATTTAACCTTTACTAGATTCTGTTCTCTTCTTTAAAATTTGTAAAAACAATGGATGTATTTTGTGGGCCCGAACTTCCAAGTGTGTGTTCTGTTCCAATCATCTTTAAGTACACTGTGAAAACAGATTTGGCAACATATAGGTACTCAAATGATCAGAGATACTCTAGGGATATGCAACATAGATACACTGAGCTAAAAGGTCTCCTATGTAAAGCTAAGAATCAGTCATTCCACTTTAAAGAAAAAAAATTTTTTTTTTCAGACAAAGTCTAACTCTGTCGCCCAGGCTGGAATGCAGTGGCACAATCTTGCCTCACTGCAACCTCCAACTCGGTTCAAGCAATTTTCCTGCCTCAGCCTCCCGAGAAGCTGGGATATACAGGTGTGTGCCACCACACTCAGCTAATTTTTGTATTTGTCAGGGTTTCACCATGTTGGCCAGGCTGGTCTTGAACTCCAGACCCCAGGCGACCCACCCACCTTGGCTTCCCAAAGTGCTGGGATTACAGGTGTGAGCCACCATGCCCAGCCTAAAGGAAATTTAAGTGTAAAGGAAAAAATTCCAAATTGAGAAAGAATAATATAGAAGTATACTTGAAATTGGCTGGGCACAGTGGCTTATACCTATAATCCCAGCACTTTGGGAGGCAGAGGCAGGGAGATCACCTGAGGTCAGGAGTTCAAGACCAGCCTGGCCAACATGGCAAAACCCCGTCTCTACTAAAAATACAAAAATTAGCCAGGTATGGTGGCACACACCTGTAATCCCAGCTACTCAGGAGGCTGAGACAGGAGAATCGCTTGAACCCAGGAGGCAGAGGTTGCAGTGAGCCGAGATCACACCACTATACTCCAGCCTGGGTGACGCAGCAAGACCCCATCTCAAAAAAAAAAAAAAATTATATTTGAAAATATACGTGCTAGAATCAGGACAACTTGTCTATGACTCTCTCTCTCCCCTCAAAGAAAAAACACAACTCTGCCACTTTAATGTTATGAAACCGCATAAAAAATACGAAACACACAGAATCAGTATATTCATATGCTGCTGGTGACAACTTTAAACTAGTGCTATCTTTTTAGAAAGTACCTGGGGCTGGGCGTGGTGGCTCACGCCTGTAATCCCAGCACTTTGGGAGGCAGAGACGGGCGGATCACGAGGTCAGGAGATCAAGACCATCCTGGCTAACACGGTGAAACCCCGTTTCTACTAAAAAATACAAAAAACTAGCTGGGCGAGGTGGCGGCGCCTATAGTCCCAGCTACTTGGGAGGCTGAGGCAGGAGAATGGCGTGAACCCGGGAGGCGGAGCTCGCAGTGAGCCGAGATCGCGCCACTGCACTCCAGCCTGGGGAACAGAGCAAGACTCCTTCTAAAAAAAAAAAAAAAAAAAAAATAGAAAGTACCTGGTGGCACTTTTCAAGATCTACTAAAAATGTTCATATAAAAAAACTCATATTGCTTGATTCAGGAATCTGACTACCAAATACCTAACCTAAGGTTAACAATCCCCCTAAAAGAGAAAAGCCTTCATTCATTAAAATGCCTGTGATCATTTTTAATGGCAATTAAAACTGTATGATTACAAAAATTGCTAGTGGAAAATCATTCTGGTTTTATTTTTTTAAATTCTGTTAAGATTATTAAGTGTGTAATATATAAAATTTTAAAACAAAAATACAAACCACAGACAAAATCTTTCAGATCCACATTCAGGATGCTTTGCCCTGCTAGCCATTCAGGGTGTGCACAGCTTACATTCACAGAATGTTGAAAGTTATTATCAATCAACCACTGAAGTAGCCACTTCAAATGGCAGTCACAGAGCAAACTGCTTGTGTTCAGAATCCTGCAGGAAAGAAAAGAGGAAAAGCATCCTTTGTTTTACTTTTTGTTCTAAACGTCTTCAGTATTAAAACCTTACCACACACCTATCCATTATTCTTGCCAAAAACATTCAACATAAATGTAATCATGAGAAAACCAATTGAGACTGTCTGCCAAAATTCTTTAAATGTATCAACCTCATGAAAGACACTAAAAAAAGAGAGGGGAACAAGGGTGGCCAGGGACCTATTTTGAAGACGACTAAAGAGTCATTACAATCAAATGAAATGTGTGATTCTTGATTGAAAAAAACCATCTACGAAGGACTTTTTTTTTTAACATTGGGGAAATTTGAGTATGGACTGTGTGTTAGTTAATATTATCTTATCAATGTTAATTTCCTTGGGTGTGGTAATGGTGATGTCTTCGCTAAAAAATGTACTTGTTCTTAAAAAATACATGCTGAGATATTTAGAGGTGAAGTGTCATCATGGCTGCAACTTTTAAATGGTCAGCAAAAAAACTGTGTATGTGTGTATATATATATATTTGTGTGTACGTGGAGAGAGAGCAAGAGCTAAAATGAGAGAGGAGGAGGGAGGGAAACAGAACAAATTTAGCAAAACGTTAACAGTCAGTGAATCTAGATAAAGCATATATGGTGTTAATTGCACCTTCCTTTAAATTTTGGAGGTTTAAATTTTTTCTCATGGAAGTATTGGGATGTAACACTATATATATTGGAGCATCGAGAGATCTCTGTTGTAGACAGCATATAATTACTGTCAAATTATTTCATGAAGACTAAAAACAATTCTGCACTAAGCCAGACTCAGTGGCTCATACCTGTAATCCTAGCACTTTGGGAGGCAGAGGCAGGAGGATCACCTGCGGTCAAGAGTTCGAGACCAGCCTGGCCAACATGGCGAAACCCTGTCTCTACTAAAAATACGAAATTAGCTGGACATAGTGGTGGGCACCTGTAATCCCAGCTACTTGGCAGGCTGAGGCAGAAGAATTGCTTGAACCCGGGAGGCGGAAGTTGCAGTGAGCCGAGATCACGCCACTGCACATCAGCCTGGGCAACAGATTAAGACTCTGTCTCCCAAAAACAAACAAACAAAAAACCACTTCAGCACTGTGGGAATGTATAATGCAATCTAAACTAAGAGCACTGAAAAAGTATTTGTGGTGTATAACCCTGTAAAACATATCTGAAAAATCAGTATTTTCTCTCAATGACCCCTTAAATATCCCATCCACTTAGAAGCAGGGAAAGTAAATGATTTTGAGAACTTGCTTTATGTACATGATAAAATCCTCATCAAGTTTAATATTTGAATAAAGTATCTAAGATCTGATTCCACAGAAGTTTCAATTTTAACTTTTTTTTTTTTTTTTTTTTGAGACAGGGTCTTGCTCTGTTGCCCAGGCTGGAGTGCAGTGGCACAATCTTGGCTCACTGCAACCTCCACCTCCTGGGTTCAAGCGATTCTCCTGCCTCAGCCTCCCAAGTAGCTGGGACTACAGGTGTGTGCCACCATGCCTAGCTAATTTTTGTATTTTTAGTAGAGACGGGGTTTCACCATGTTGGCCAGGATGGTCTGATCTCTTGACCTCGTGATCCACCTGCCTCGGCCTCCCAGGGTGCTGGGATTACAGGTGTGAGCCACCACGCCTGGCAAAGTTTCAATTCTAAGAATGAAAAAAATTGACTTACATTGTTCAATTGTTCAAAGTTGACTTATATTGTTATTAAACAAGGGGGCACTGGCAAAGATGACTGTGCTTTTATAATGCTTTAACAAGCTTCATTGAGTAATTTCTTCTCTAACAGTTGGTTTGAACAAACTGCTATTGCAGGAACTTTAATGCAACTGTGTTTTGAGACAAGAACCCGCTGTGTTGCCCAGCCTGGTCTCTAACTCCTGGACTCGAGGCTCCTCCCACCTGAGCCTTCTGAGTATCTGGGATTACAGGGATGAGCCACCACACCTGGATCTAATGGAACTTTTTTACTGAGAATTGTTGGTTGCTTTTGGTTACTTTAGAAGTCATATTTATAATACTTTTTAGGTCAACATTTATTAAAATCTTCTCTTTATACTTTTTGGTATTCCCCACAAGGCTTTGCATCAATAATAAGAAGTGTATGAAAAAGTTGCATATAAATTTTAAAACATTTTCCATTAAAATTATGTAGTAGAAAATTAGAAAGTACCACTAAACCAAGAGGGAGAGAAAGCCCCCCAAATCCTCACTACTCAAAGAAAACCACTGGAAATATTTTAATATAATCTATCCACACACTTGTTGAGAGAATACCTTATACTCTGTTAAGTACTTGTGGTCAGGGTTTGGTTAGTATATGAAGAGTGGAAAGAAACAAAAGAAACAGAAGTGAAGGGAGCTATTGTGAATTAAGTTTTGTCTGTGGTCAGGCACTGTGCTAAATATTTATTTATTTATTTATTTATTTATTTATTTATTTATTTGAGACAGAGTCTTGCTCTGTCAGCCAGGCTGGAGTGCAGTGGTGAGATCTCAGCTCACCACAACCTCCACCTCCCGGGTTCAAGCAATTCTCCTGCCTCAGCCACCTGAGTAGCTAGGACTACAGGCACATGGCACCACGCCTGGTTAATTTTTGCATTTTTAGTAGAGACAGGGTTTCACCATATTGGCCAGGCTGGTCTCAAACTCCTGACCTCGTGATCTGCCTGCCTCGGCCTCCCAAAGTGCTGGGATTACAGATGTGAGCCACCGCACCCGGCTGAGGTAGGCATTTTCAATTCCATTTTCTAGAAATGGAAAATGAGATTTTGGGGGCATTCAGTATTATGTCTAAAATAAATAGTAGAGGCTGGGCGCGGTGGCTCAAGCCTGTAATCCCAGCACTTTGGGAGGCTGAGGCGGGTGGATCACAAGGTCAGGAGTTCCAGACCAGCCTGGCCAAGATGGTGAAATCCCGTCCCTACTAAAAATACAAAAAATTAGCTGGGCGCAGTAGCATGCGCCTGTATTCCCAGCTACTTGGGAGGCTGAGGCAGGAGAATCTCTTGAACCTGGGAGGCAGAGGCTGCAGTGAGCTGAGATCGTGCCACTGCACTCTAGCCTGGGTGACAAAGCGAGACTCCATCTAAAAAATAATAATAATAAAATAAAATAAAATAAAATAAATAGTAGAGTTAGGATATGAGCCCAGGTCTTATGAGTCCAGCTTACAGTATACCTAAGAAAACATAAATTGGACGAGGTCACTCCTCTTTTCTAAAGATACAAAAATTAGCTGGGTGTGGTGGTAGGCGCCTGTAATCCCAGCTATTCAGGGGGCTGAGGCAGGAGAACAGCTTGAACCTGGAAGGCGAAGGTTGCAGTGAGCTAAGATCATGCCACTGCCCTCCAGCCTAGGTGACAGAGGGAGACTCCATCTCAAAGAAAAAAAAAAATTTTTTCTTTTGCCATGTGTAATCTTATGGAGGCTGAAGAAACATCTAAGGGCTGTCTGGATATCTCCAAAGCCCATCTGAGTGTAGATAAAATATTTAGTCTATTTCCAATTATTCTTTTTCCTTTTCAACCTCAAGTCATTACTTTTGGGAGTCCCCAAGTCCCCTGAGAGATCCCCAGGAGGGTGGGGGGCCTACAGTCCCAGTGACTAAGAGTCCAGAGTGGGAAGGAAAAAGTCTAGCAGTGGGTGGACAGATGGATTTGAAGGGAGTCTTATCAAAGGGCTTAAGGGAACCGGAGGGAACATTAAAGGTGGTAAGAGGAGGAATAAGGAGCAGTAGTAATGGGAAGAAAGAGAGCTTACAGGATGCGGTCTGAAGAGATCCTAAGTATCCCAAAGAGGCCAATAAAGGTTCAACAAGGAGGAGGTGGACAAAACGAGTGGTGGAGCAATAGAGTTAGCAGGGGCTCAAAAAGAAGGGATTCAGATGCCAGAGAAATTGCCATGGGAGAAGTAGGATCCATTACAGAGAACAGAGTAGCCTCACAGAGTTCCAAGAACTTTTAGTCCAGGGAGTCAGGGAATAAACCCCACTAAGAGAGCCAGGAAGACCTTCAAGCCCAGGAGGTACCTTTCAAAAGAAGCCTGGCCTCTAGCCCAACTCCAGAGAATATATTCACAATCTTGAGAATCGAAATCTTTCCTTACCAGCTTCAACGGATGTTTGTCCGGAGCAATGGTTCATAGTCTGACTCACCATTGGATCCCCGATCTATCAGTCAGGAGTGAAGACAATGGCTTCAAAGGTGCACACTTGGGGTCCTGGGTGAGAGGTCTGGGGGTCCAATGATGAATCTGATCCTATCGGAGTCACAGCACCATAACTGTTAAATGAAAAATTACTCAGTGATACTTGTTAAAGCATGGTAAGGCAGACGTTATTCAGGATCATCTCAATAGATATAGGAACCATGGCGATGTGATGTTGCAGTTGGGGAGAGAGACTGGGCTCAACTCAGTGAGGGAGAGACAGTAGGGAAACAGCAAGGGCAAGTATAGCCAAGGAGCAAGGTGGGTTTGCTTTCATCCCATTCAGTGGATGTGAAATTACTAAAAAATAACATCCAGAGAAAGGGAGACTCTGGCTAAACCCTAACAGGATTCTTGCTGAAGACAAGCCAGGGTGATCAGACATCACCTGGGAATGGTCTACATTGTGGAAGAGTTCTTGCTAAACTGGTTTTACAGGGTTCGTGCTAAAATTGGATTTTACACAGCTAGGCCTAGGAGAAGGTTTAAGGGCTTGCTTGCCTAAAGGTTGGTTAACCAAAGAATCTTTGTCACGACTCCCAAATTATTAAATGACTCTCTGAAGATTGCGACTGCAATATTTGCTTTCACCTACTGTTTAAATTTTATGTTAAATTGAGTTCTCCTAACAGTTAAAACTTTCTTGCTGGCCCTCAGGTTATCACTGACAAAAAAAAAAAAAAAAAAAAAAAGGCGGGGGGGTATACTAATTTGTAGTAAGTCACAACTTATAATTAAACTAAGCCTATGAGAAATAACTCAAAATATCTCAACAGATCAAAATATCTACTTTAAGAATCTGGCAGAAAATAACTAATGATGATTTTCATAACATTTTAATTTTAGTCTTTATTGTTAACATTACTCCACTTCTACCCTGTGCCAAGCTCTGCTGAACATTTTCTCAAAACCCTCGTTTCCTAGTACGTTCAAAAAAGCAAAAATCTTAATTCCTCATGGTCTATTATGATCTGCCTCCTGTCTCTTTAAAAAGAAAAATATGAGCATAATTTTATTGTTGGACCTAATAAAACTGTAAATTCGATATGCTTTTCAAGAACAACAAAAAAGGTAAGTTAGAACAAAGCAGTTTGGGATAAAAGAAAAATATCTTGACAGGCTACATGTCGTGGCTCACGCCTGTAATCCCAACACTTTGGGAGGCTGAGGCAGGCGGATCACGAGGTCAGGAGATCGAGACCATCCTGGTTAACACAGTGAAACCCCGTCTCTACTAAAAAAAAAAAAAAAAAATTAGCCGGGCGTGGTGGCATACACCTGTAGTCCCAGCTACTCAGGAGGCTGAGGCAGGAGAATCACTTGAACCTGGGAGGCGGAGGTTGCAGTGAGCTGCAATGGCACAACTGGACTCCTGCCCGGGCAAGAGTGAGATTCCACCTCAAAAAAAAATTAATTAATGTAAAAAAAAAAAAAAAAATACTGCAACAAATGAAGAGAACGACTAATGAGAAATAAGATGATTAATATCAAAAAAAATTGTACATATTTAATTATTCTACTCTGCTTAACTCTCTAAACTCATTTTACTTCCTATTCCTTGTGCCTGGGAAGCCATTCACCGAGTGTTCACATGGTTTGCCATTTCATTAAGGTCGTGGTTCAAATGTTGTATCTTCAAAAGAGTTTCCCCTCACTACTTTATCTAAAATAGCAATCCCCATCACTCTCCATACCTTTGACCTAGTTTTATTTTTCTTCAGTTGTTACCTGATGAGATATTATATATCTACTGGTATATTATTTATCTTCCTCACTAGGATTTACTGTAATATGCTATGAGCACAGAGACTCTGTCTTGTTCACTACTGTTTTTATCATCCAGAACAGTATCCTACATAGCAGATAATGAATAAATATTTGAGTAAACAAGTTATCTCACTTTATCTTCACATAACCCTGAGGGAGGTGCTATCCCCATTCTGGGAACAGAAACTGAGTCTTAGGCTAAGAGTTGGCCCACTGTCACACAGTTGTAAGGAATGGAGTAAGGATTTGAACCTAGGCAGTTTGAAAACTCACACATTTCCAGTGCATCTCAAATTATCCATGGTAAGGACCAGTCTTTTAAACTGCCAATCTACTGCAGACCAATACTTTTATAAACTACAACAAAAGTGTCACAGTAATGTCAAATTGTTCTAAAAGTTTCTAAATGCTTATTCTGCATTTCTATCTTTTTTTTTTTTGAGATGGAGTCTCGCTCTGTCGCCTGGGCTGGAGTGCAGTGGCCTGATCTCAGCTCACTGCAAGCTCCGCCTCCCGGGTTTACGCCATTCTCCTGCCTCAGCCTCCCGAGTAGCTGGGACTACAGGCGCCCGCCACCTTGCCCAGCTAGTTTTTGTTTTTTTGTATTTTTTAGTAGAGACGGGGTTTCACCGGGTTAGCCAGGATGGTCTCGATCTCCTGACCTCGTGATCCGCCCGTCTTGGCCTCCCAAAGTGCTGGGATTACAGGCTTGAGCCACCGCGCCCGGCTGCATTTCTATCCTTATATTGTCATCAACCGGTTCTGCTCCACAGAGTATCCTTTGAGTAGCTTCCCAGGCAAGGCAAAATAATTTCTATTGTCTAGTGGTTCTTACCCGACTGCATATTTGAATCAATAGAGTTTAAAAACAATACCAGGCCAGGACTGGTGGCTCACGCCTGTAATCCCAGCACTTTGGGAGGCTGAAGCGGACAGATCACCTGAGGTCAGGAGTTCGAGACCAGCTGGCCAACATGGCGAAACCCTGTCTCTATTAAAAATACAAAAATTAGTCGGGTGTGGTGGCACACACCTGTAATCCCAGCTACTCAGGACGCTGAGGCATGAGAATCGCTTGAACCCAGGAGGCAGAGGTTGCAGTGGGCCGAGATCACACCACTGCACTCCAGCCTGGGGGATAGAGCAAGACTCTGTCTCCAAAAAAATATAAAATATATAAATATAAATAATACCAATGCCCAACTAACTTCCAATCCCCTAGGGAAATCTCGAAACCAGTAAGAGCAATTTTTAAAACTCATGAATGAAAAAGGGTACATATACACACTTGTCTATTTTGACATTTTAGTAGTTTGAACAGGTTAGAGACTTCTCTGACAATTATCCTAAGTGTTAAATCACCTCGGAAACTATAAAACAAAATTACCTGATACCTTTATTGTAACCCACACAAAGTGCTAAGAACTGGTAACACATATTTCTGATAATCCAAAAAGGAACAGTAGGTTATACAAAAAGCATAAGGAGCAGTGCTAAGGTCTCCTAATTATAAGCGTTGGTAGAACAGGCAAAACAGAAGGTCTTGATGCCACACACTCTGGGCTTTTCAGTGTTGGGTATTTTAAAATTACCTCTAGCCACTAAAATAACTGAGTATTAATACTTTCTTCCTGCCTGAACTGTGTGCTTTTGGAAATAACTTGGGTCACTCCCATCACACTTTAAGCACAACAAGCAGGAACAATGATCCAACTGGTGATCTTAAAAAGACAAGTTACTTACAGTTCTTTCAAATGAGTCTGAGAAAAAGCATTTTCTTGGATAGACATTATAGCATTATTGTTCAAATCTCTGAAATAAAGAGAAATGAAACATTATCAGTCACCATTTCTATATGAAGTTACATAAACACTTTACATGGTCATGAAAACCTCTGCTAATAGCAAAGATTATTTATAGAGTAAGCAAAATGTATGACAAATACTTACAGATGCTCAAGGGATTCAAGACCAATGAATGCTTTCTTTGTAATTGACTTAATCTGGTTTCCTTGTAAGACTCTGAAATATAAACAGACCTTTGTAAGAAAGCTCTCCACTAAACAAAATTAAATTCATTAAACATCTACCTATTTTTGCTTAGCGTACTTTTTTGTATATTTAACAGCTTTACTGAGGTACAACTGTATACAAAAAAATACACATATTTAACGTGTACAATTTGATGAGAACCATGCATTTTTAAGAAAGTTAAGAAATTTAATTATTAATCAATGTAAAACATAGCATAAAGGCGTCTATCAAAGCTCCATGAGGTGAACAACCATCTTGACCACTGATAAACTGGTAATTTTCAGATGCTAAATTCAATTATATTCCTCATGTCTCCATTCATAGCAAAAGATTGTCAGAGAAATTCAGACAAGTGTGACCCTTTGGAGAAATTATTCTCATGGGAGAAAATCTAAAATCTTATGTGAGAGAATGCTCTACTTCTGCTAGATAAATTACTCATAAATCTCATACAATTAAACAAACTACAAATCAAACAGATTATCAAACATTACTTTCTCAATGCATTCCTTTTACTTGAACAGAAATTCTACTTCTATAAATAACTTCTCTTTAAGTGTCCATAGGAATGCTTTTTCAATAAAAAGTGCCCCAACAACAACAAAAAAAACACAGAAACAGAAAAACTAGCTGGGCATGGTGGCTCATGCCTATAATCCCAGCACTTTGGGAGGCCAAGGTGGGAGGATCACTTGAGCCCAGGAGTTCAAGACCAGCCTGGGCAATATAGTGAGAACTCTGTCTCTACAAAAAAAAAAAAAAAAAGTTAATTAGCTGGGCATGGTGGTACACACCTTTAGTCCTAGCTCCTTAGGATGCCAAGGTGGGAGATCACTTGAGCCCAGGAGGTTGAGGCTGCTGTGAGCTGTGACTGCGCCACAGCACTCCAGCCTGGGTGACAGAGCAAGACCCTGTCTCAAAATAAAAAAAAAAGGCCGGGTGTGGTGGCTCAAGCCTGTAATCCCAGCACTTTGGGAGGCCAAGACGGGCGGATCACGAGGTCAGGAGATCGAGACCATCCTGGCTAACCCGGTGAAACCCCGTCTCTACAAAAAATACAAAAAAAAAAAACAAACTAGCCAGGCGAGGTGGCGGCGCCTGTAGTCCCAGCTACTCGGGAGGCTGAGGCAGGAGAATGGCTAAACCCGGGAGGCGGAGCTTGCAGTGAGCTGAGATCAGGCCACTGCACTCCAGCCCGGGCGACAGAGCAAGACTCCGTCTCAAAAAAAAAAAAAAAAAAAGAAAGAAAAAACCAGCCAGGTGGAGTGGCTCATACCTGTAATCCTAGCACTTTGGGAGGCCGAGGCAAGCAGATCACGAGGTCAGGAGTTCAAGACCAGCCTGGCCAAGATGGTGAAACCCCATCTCTACTAAAAATACAAAAATTAGCTAGGCACGGTGGCACACGCCTGTAATCCAAGCTACTCAGGTGGCTGAGGCAGGCGAATTGCTTGAACAGGGATCTAGGAGGCAGAGGTTGTAGTGAGCCAAGATCGCACCACTGCACCCCAGCCTGGGCTACAGAGCGAGACTCGGTCTCAAAATAACGAACAAACAAAGAAACCCCCACAAAGCTCCCAGAGTGTCAGAAAGCTCAGACTTTCTAGCCATATGAAATAAACATAATTCAGTCATATTTACAGTCGGTTCTTGAAAACACGCCTATGCAGACATACATAAATATTATAAATACATACAATTTAGTGAGACTTGTGAGTCCAGCAAAGGCTTCACTAGCATCTTCTATGGCCCATGAAATTTCATTGTTTCTTAAGTCTCTACAAAAATGTCAGAGAAAGACAGGTTCTATTAGTCAATACAACCATTATAACATTGAGCAGCATCCTGGCATGGTGATGTCAAGGTGCACATGCTAATTCTGATCCTTACTTTAACAGTTATTTATGAAGAAGGCTCAACTCTGCTTCTTAAGAAATATCTGGGCCGGGCGCGGTGGCTCAAGCCTGTAATCCCAGCACTTTGGGAGGCCAAGACGGGCGGATCACGAGGTCAGGAGATCGAGACCATCCTGGCTAACACAGTGAAACCCTGTCTCCACTAAAAAATACAAAAAACTAGCCGGGCGCGGTGGCGGGCGCCTGTAGTCCCAACTACTCAGGAGGCTGAGGCAGGAGAATGGCGTGAACCCGGGAGGCGGAGCTTGCAGTGAGCTGAGATCTGGCCATTGCACTCCAGCCTGGGCGGCAGAGCGAGACTCCGTCTCAAAAAAAAAAAAAAAAAAAAAGAAATATCTGTAATAAACATGTAAGAACTGATTCTTACAAGCTAAGAATTAAGCTGGCCTTGACAAATAAAGCAACCTGCTAAAAGTATTACTCTTCCAAGCTAAAAGTCCCTCATTATGTTAGCATATTAAAAAGTATACACAGGGTCCTGAAAAGAGGAGGGTTTCAAGATGCAGAGTATATGGCTTATAAATCTGATTTCAGACTAATGGGATTTCTGGGTGACCCAAGCCTTCCCCTGGGACCTTAAACTTACAATGGCTGACAAAGCGTAATATCAATACAGAGCTTCACTGCTCAAGAGCAATTAAAGATGCCCCATGGGAAGCAAAAATGATATACCCATGTGTTACAGTGTCATCAGATTTTCTTTCAAAGGGAAACTATGGATCTTCTAAAATTCACTGTTCCATTCTCAAAGGAAATGCAATTGTACCACATCATGTTATGATAAAATAATTATTTCCATAGAATTAAAAATATTTAATCACTTTTGCTTCTTTAAGTCATCTCATAATAAAGCACAAAGCTTTCTACTTTATAAGGGACATGCAGAGTTGTGTGATTAGCAGTAAAGAGGAGATCCCTCTTTTCACTTGGCTTTCTTTAAGTGAAAAGCTAATAAAGCTCATTTTATTTTACTAAGGAATAAATAAGGAAAGAACCAATGGCTCAGCTCTTCAGGACTTTCCCCCTCCTCCACAGCACAGCATAAATAGAAACCACTCAACAAATTAAGAACTGTATCTACCCTGGCAAGAGCACGAGGCTAAAGCCAGAATTCCCCAGATTTGATCCTAATTCTGTCTTAAATATCTCTGTGGTATTACACAACCATTTACTTCTGCTATTACTTCCTTAAACTTTAATTCTAAAAGTAATAATCAGTGGTATACTAAAATAACCTATTTGCGACCCCTTCAACTGCCAAAAGGCTGCAGTTACATCTAAGTTTCTGAGATTGCATTGATCCAATTTCACTTCTGATAATATAGGAAAAGGAAAAATACAATCACTTTTAATTTTTCAAGGCCAAATCTAAAGAAAGTTAAAAAAAAAATCAAATACACACCTGTGCATGTATATACCCTTCACAAAATTATCTTGCTTTCCCTCTCATTGATGGTTAGGTCTCCAAGTTGGGAACCTGCCTCTTCTCTGAACCATTTCAACTCAAAACCTAACGACCATAAAGTACCCTATTCAGGAAACTTAAGACTCTACTACTTACTCTTTGTTTTCTTTTATTCTGCTCTGTGTTTGAGACTACTATATTTCATTAAAATACCTCTTTATTTAGTAAAATTATATTCTAAAATTAGATATATTTATATATAAATACAAAAAGTTCATAAAAACATATTCTTATATTCTATAAATTAAGTAACTTACAGTACCACAGAATTTTAGCATGGAAACTGCCTTTAGTAACCATCTAATCCTATATCCTTCATTCACCGTATAAAAGAGAAGAAAAGCCGGGCGCGGTGGCTCAAGCCTGTAATCCCAGCACTTTGGGAGGCCGAGACGGGCGGATCACGAGGTCAGGAGATCGAGACCATCCTGGCTAACACGGTGAAACCCCGTCTCTACTAAAAAAATACAAAAAACTAGCCGGGCGCGGTGGCGGGCGCCTGTAGTCCCAGCTACTCGGGAGGCTGAGGCAGGAGAATGGCAGGAACCCGGGAGACGGAGCTTGCAGTGAGCTGAGATCCGGCCACTGCACTCCAGCCTGGGCGGCAGAGCGAGACTCCGTCTCAAAAAAAAAAAAAAAAAAAGAGAAGAAAAAATGATGCCCAGGAAAAGCTAAGTGATTTTGTTCTTCTGGTGGTATGATAAAATGGGCATGAGCTTTAGCATCAAACAGACCTGGGATCTGATTCTGGCCCAATATTTACAAGCTATGTGATTTTGAGAAAATTATTTAAATTTCTCTGAACCTCAGCCTCCTAATATGGAAAACAGCAGTATCATCCTAGTATTTGAAAGCACCTGGCACACATCAGATAATAAGTATTAGTTTCTTCCATCCAAAGTCATGTAGCAAACCAGTAACAGTGAACTGATCTCCTACCATGGCAGTTCCCTCTACACATCCTGCATCCTTTTGAATGAGAACTAGTAGCTCTGGTGTATTGTCAAGTTCAAAGGAACAAGAAAATGACTGCAATCCTGACACTAGCAACTGTGTTTTATTCCATAGCAACTAACACAATAAGACATGCTTTGCTGTTTATGGGATTAACTCAGAATTAAACTACAAACTGAATTGCCTACTACAGGCTTGAGATTTTTATGGAGATGGGAGACAAATAAAACTATCTTGCTCTGAGGCACAGGACAGAAGAACCGCAAAATATTAGCATACATAATTTGCAGACTGATTAGCTGTTTTAATTAATTTGCTTTATTGTACTAAAAAAATCAGTAACAACAACCAAAAAAGAGAATGGATATACTTACAATGTCTGAAGATTGGAAAGAAATCTAAATACACCATCAGCAATATGAGTGACTCTGTTGTCTCCCAAATTCAATCTCTCCAATAAGCTCAGACCCACAAAGGCAGATTCATCCAGGCGGGTCAGCTGGTTATACGACAAATCACTGAAAACAAGAAATGTGGAAGATAAGGAATTCATTGTATTTGGTTCAACTTACAATTCTTATTACATCTACATGGTAAATTTAGAGCTTTCTACAAATTTCTAGTAAAGAGGGATGTTATATCTCATTACTGTCCATGGGAATGATTTATTTCAATCTGCTCTAGTCTCACAGCCTCCAGTGAAATGCTATCCAACACTTACAGTTCGGATAGTCTTTGGCAGAACTCCCATGCATCAGGGCTGATTCTTTCAATAGCATTCTGGCTCACATAGAGCTGCTGTAACATTCGCAAGCCATATAACCACCCCTTGTTCACTCGTGTAAGGTTATTGTGTTCCAGTTCTCTGCAGAATTAGAGAAAGAAGAAAATACGTTCCAAAACAAGGCAGTTCAATTAACTAGCTTTAAATCTTAAGTTTTTCCCAGAGAAGCATATATCTTTGTTCAAGCCAACTGAGCTGACCAATTCTATTCAATAAAAATGTATATTTTATTTAAGATTTAGTGCTTGGCTGGGTGCAGTGGCTCACGCCTGTAATCCCAGCACTTTGGGAGGCCGAGGTGGGCAGATCACAAGGTCAAAAGATTGAGACCATCCTGACCAACATGGTAAAACCCTGTTTCTACTAAAAATACAAAAATTAACTGGGCGTGCCAGCACACGCCTGTAGTCCCAGTTAGGAAGCTGAGGCAGGAGAAAGGCTTGAACCCATGAGGCAGAGGTTGCAGTGAGCCGAGATCGCGCCCCTTGTACTCCAGCCTGGCGACAGAGCAAGACTCCATCTCAAAAAAAAAAAAAAAAGATTTAGTGCTAGAAGATACTAAGACTGTCTAAAAGAGCAGCTCTACAAAACCAACAGGCCAAGTGGTATAGTATACCCATTTGGATAAATTCTGATAATTTTCATTAACTAAAACATTAAGAATATAAACTTTTTGCCCTGGTGCAGTGGCTTGTGCCTGTAATCCCAGCACTTTGGGAGGCTGAGGTGGGTAGATGACGAGGTCAGGAATTTGAGACCAGCCTGACCAACATGGAGAAACCCCGTCTCTACTAAAAATACAAAAATTAGCCAGGGCTGGTGGCACGCGCCTGTAATCCCAGCTACTCAGGAGGCTGAGACAGGAGAGTTGCTTGAACCTGGGAGGCGGAGGTTGCAGGAGCCGAGATCACACCATTGCACTCCAGCCTGGGCAACACAGTGAGACTCCGTCTCAAAAAGAAAAAAAAAAGAATATAAACTTTTTAGATGAGAAGTTTGTAAGAATTATTTCAAAAATGATCAGTTAGCTAACAAAACTTTAAAGGTTTTATGTACACTTATTTCACATCAGTGAGCAGGGAAAGAATGAACATATCTCTATAATTATAATCAGAACAACTATCCTAGCCATTTGACATTGAAAAGTCCCAGACAGACTACTTTCCTAATAATCACCTCTAGTCCCGAGTACTTACAGTTCTTCCATGTTATTTAAGCCAAAAAATGCTCCATCCTTAAGTTTGCTAATTCCATTCCGCTGCATTTTCAAAGATCTTAAGGAGTCAAGCCCTTGGAATGTAAGACCTTCCACAATTTTAATTCTGTTTCTTTTAAGTTCCCTTTAACAAAAATAGTTTTAGAGTCAGGAAATTGGTTTGCTGAAATGCTCTAACAGTAATTAAATTAAAAAGAAAAAGACCCTGTAACAAAAAAACTATCTTTTATAATCCAACTATTTCGTTACTCACAAGAATTGGAGGTGAGGCAGCTTGAAGATCTTAGGTGGAATCATGCTTATTCGGTTACGGTTTAACTTTACCACTAATAAGGAACTCGATAAATTATCGAAGCAGCCAGCCTCCAAGGTGGTTATCCTGTTATTACTTAAATTCCTAAAATAAACAAGATAATAGCAAAAGAAAACATTTAGTAAAATAAAAATTCTACCACTAGAAAGCTGCCAAATATCTATGTATAAGCCCCCAGCTATCACTTAATGACTATCCACAACTTTATAAATCATTTAAATGCTCTGTTTCTTCATCTATGGAGGCTACCTACTTCATTTAGGTTGTTACAAAACAGCATGTGTGAATATGCTCTGTAAACTGGAAAACATTGGCACACATGCTAATTATCATTATATACGGTAAGCCATTGTTTAACAAATCTCTATTTACCTTTTAGAAAGCTTGGTTTAAAAAACAAAAAAAATTGAATCTCAAAATTACCCTTGATATTTACCAGTATTTTCTGACAATAGTGCGATCTTTCTTTAGGGGGCTTGTGGGGTGAGTGGGCAAAGCCAACCACCCAATATACCAACCCTAGGTTTGTCTCACATATGCATATAAAAAGCACAATAAATAAATACTTTTGAAAAGATAGGTACTGATGAATAATAAACATGTGCTTTAAAGTAAATCTAATTTAATCTGTGTTACTTACAGGTATTTAAGCTGCATGTGAGGAAATGAAGATGTCTTGATTTCTGATATTATATTTGAGCTGAGGTCTAAACTCTGCAAAGCAGGGTAAAACTGGAGTGCCTGTGCATTTATTTCTGGGATTATATTATGGACTCTGTAAAACAAAGATTATAATGAAGCTGCTGCCACTGGATCCACCCTAGGCCACAAAAACGTTAAATAATTAGAATCAACAATATATGTGCTTAAAAAAAAAAAACAAAACTGTATACTAGTCATAATTTAAATAAAAAACCTGAAAACTTATTAACTTACAATGAAAGTAGAGTAATATTAGACGTTGGTTCTCCAAAATACGGGATTTCTGTTAGTTCATTGTAATTCATTTTCCTAGGCAAGAGGAAAAACAGATTTAAATGTTTAGTGAGGGAAATATTACCTCTTGAATTCTACCATCTGGCTAACACATATTCTTTAGAATAGGTGCCAAATTTGAAAAATAATTATGACTCAGAATGAGTTAGACTAAAATAAAAATGTACTTATTGAGAAATTAGAGGTTTTAATGAGAAATTTTTATTTTTATTTATTTATTTATTTTTTTTTTTTTTTTTTTTTTTTTTGAGACGGAGTCTCGCTCTGTCACCCAGGCTGGAGTGCAATGGCGCCATCTCGGCTCACTGCAAGCTCCGTCGCCTCCTGGGTTCACGCCATTCTCCTGCCTCAGCCTCCCTAGAAGCTGGGACTACAGGCGCCCGCCACCACGCCCGGCTAATTTTTTTGTATTTTTAGTAGAGACGGGGTTTCACCGTGTTCGCCAGGATGGTCTTGATCTCCTGACCTCGTGATTCGCCCGTCTCAGCCTCCCAAAGTACTGGGATTACAGGCGTGAGCCACCGTGCCCGGCCGAAATTTTAATTTTTAAATTAAAATTTAATTTTAAAGTTATTTTCTTTCTTTCTTTTTTTTTTTTGAGACAGAGTTTCATTATTTTTGCCCAGGCTGGAGTGCAATGGTGCAATCTCGGCTCACTGCAACCTCTGCCTCCTGGGTTCAAGTGATTCTCCTGCCTTAGCCTCCTGAGTATCTGAGATTACAGGCATGCACCACCACGCCTGGCTAATTTTGTATTTTTAGTAGAGACAGGTTTCACCATGTTGGCCAAGCTGATCTCAAACTCCTGACCTCAGGTGATACGCCCACCTTGGCCTCCCAAAGTACTGGGATTACCGGTGTAAGCCACCACGCCTGGCCAAGAAATGTGTTTTCATAGTGTTGATCTACTATTGGTATTAATATCAGAAAGGCTACGAAGTATTTTCCACATTAAATATTGTTAGTTCAAGCAAAGTTCTTTGAATAAGTTGGGTTTACGACAGCTAATTTGAGTCCTTAAACAAAGAAGGCATAATCAGTCCATCCAGATCTCTCTTTCTCTAAATATACATAAACACACACATATAAATGTGTGTGTGTATACATATATTCTGAAGCTATACAAATGTTAGAGAGTGTCACTTGAGACCACAGATGAAATTTATCAGCCCACCCAGAGATGGAATCTATGACTAATTTTACAGATAACATAACGTGTTGCATCTGATCCCAGCAGCCCTTTAAACAGATTGTCTCAAATGTTTTAGTAGCAAATCTAATACAATCACATTTCATTAACCTGGTTTTTAGTCATTGAACAACCTCAACAATCTCAACAAAAGAGCACAGAAAAGAAACCAGAACTAAAGACCTTCAGGAAACCAACCAAAGTTACAAAAAGCCCATACACTTCCCACTGAAGCATTTTCAGGTCTTTCCTCAGTGCCTACTCTTTCAGCTAACAAACTTGTCAACTGTGTACTCATCCACAACACATTAGAAGTAGTGAATTTGGGGCTAGGAGGAGAGAATGCAGAGACAATGAGCATGAAGAAGGTATCCCTGTCAGCAAAGAATTAAAAAGGAAAGTAAATCTCAGGGTTCCGAGGGTGTTAAGTCTAGAGGCAAATAGGCCTACATACCTTAATGGTTGTGCCTCTAGGAATGTAACAATGCTCTAGGAATGTAACGATGCAAAAACTAATATTAATATCTTAGAAAACTCCCTCCAAAATTACATAATACATCTCGGTATTAAAGGAAAAACTTTAGTTAAGAGAAAAACTTGGCCGGGCGCGGTGGCTCAAGCCTGTAATCCCAGCACTTTGGGAGGCCGAGACGGGCGGATCACGAGGTCAGGAGATCGAGACCATCCTGGCTAACACAGTGAAACCCCGTCTCTACTAAAAGATACAAAAAACTAGCCGGGCGTGGTGGCGGGCGCCTGTAGTCCCAGCTACTCCAGAGGCTGAGGCAGGAGAATGGCGTGAACCCGGGAGGCGGAGCTTGCAGTGAGCCGAGATCCGGCCACTGCACTCCAGCCTGGGCGACAGAGCGAGACTCCCTCTCAAAAAAAAAAGAGAAAAACTGAATTCTATCAACCATTACATTCTCATACGATATCAAGATGATTCTATTTCATATAAATCTACTTTAGACATGATGCTCCCAATCTTAGATAACATGTCAAGACATTTAAAAAGGTTATACAAGAGTTTCACTGGCTGAAAACTTGGCCAAAATCAAAACATAATTTGCTCTGAAGAGGTGTAAATCTTACTTTTAGCCCCAGGAAGGTAAAATATTTCCCCACAGCCTGCAACTTGAAATCACCAACCCAATGCCAAGACAGTCTGATAATAACAAAGTCAAAACATTTTAGGTTTCAAATTATTTCTTTTAACTAATTTTTTCCTTCAATTTTTTTATGGCATCTCTGGATTGAACATCCCGCAAATCACAATTTATTAAGTTCCCTCAGGAATTTAACATAACTTTAAATAAATAAAAATAACTTACACTTCCTGTAACATCTGTGATTCCAAGCTGATGTTCCAGTTAGACAACCGATTATGACTCAAATCCCTGAAAGAGGACAAAATGTCATTTTTAGTTTAGTGCTGGAGAGTAGACCTAAAGAAAAAAAAAAAAAAAAAACTGAATAGAAATACTAAAAGTCCTCTTGGCCAGGTACAGTGGCTCATGCCTGTAATCCTGGCACTTGGGGAGGCTGAGGCAGGCGGATCACCTGAGGTCAGGAGTTCAAGACTCACCTGGCAAACATGGTGAAACCCCATCTCTACTAAAAATACAAGTATCAGCCAGGTGTGGTGGCACATGCCTGTAATCCCAGCTACTCGGGAGGCTGAGGCAGGAGAATTGCTTGAACCCGGGAGGTGGAGGTTGCAGTGAGCCGAGTTCACGTCACTGCACTCCAGCGTGGGTGACAGAGCAAGACTCTGTCTCAAAAAAAAAAATGTTTTTAATTAAAAAAAAAATAAAAGTCCTATTAAATGTGAATTTGAGACAAGAATGTTTGTAAAGGATGAATAAAAATATATCTCAATTTAAAAATAGCTATTTTACTTTACGTGTGTGTGTATTTATATATGTGTGTGTAGCTTCTGAGTTTGGGAATACATTCACATGGTCCAATAATCAAAAAGTGTAAAAAGTCTCCCACTTTTGTCTCCAGCCACCCAATTCCCCTTCCCAGTAACAACAAATGAAAATATGCCATTTCGGCCGGGCGCGGTGGCTCAAGCCTGTAATCCCAGCACTTTGGGAGGCCGAGACGGGTGGATCACGAGGTCAGGAGATCGAGACCTTCCTGGCTAACATGGTGAAACCCCCTCTCTACGGGGGTGGCGGGCGCCTGTAGTCCCAGCTACTCGGGAGGCTGAGGCAGGAGAATGGCATAAACCCGGGAGGCGGAGCTTGCAGTGAGCTGAGATCCGGCCACTGCACTCCAGCCTGGGCGACAGAGCGAGACTCCGTCTCAAAAAAAAAAAAAAAAGAAAAGAAAATATGCCATTTCTTGTGCAGACTTCTAGATATTTTAAGCATGTACAGCAAAGTTTTACAGAAATGATAGAACAATTTACACATTATTTTGCCCCTTGCTTTTTTCACTCAGTAATACATCTTAGACCATTCCATAGCAGTATATAGTTTCTTTATTCCTTGTAGTGATTATGTATTATACCTTAACTGTAAATACATTCGAAGATATATTTCACAAGTCAAAATGGTGAGCTTCTGTATTAAAACTGAAGTTGACCACATCCTTGATAGGGATGTGGCCTTCCTTTAAAAAAAAAAAAAAAAAAAAAAGGCCAGGCATGGTGGCTCATGCCTGTAATCCCAGCACTCTGGGAGGCCAAGGCAGGTGGATTACCCCAGGTCAGGAGTTCAAGACCAGCCTGGCCAACACAGTGAAATCTATCTCTACTAAAAATACAAAAAAATTAGCCAGGCGTGGTGGCATGCACCTGTAATCTCAGCTACTCGGGAGGCTGAGGCAGGAGAATCACTTGAACCCTTGAGGCGGAGGTTGCAGTGAGCCAAGATTGCACCACAGCACTCCAGTCTGGATGACAAAGCAAGACTCTGCTCCAAAAAAAAACACAATCCACCTTCAGGAAAAGGAAATTAATCTCACCCCAAATTATGTTAATAATAATGACGGCATTGGTGGCTAGCATTTATTAAGGCAGGCATTCTTCTATGCACTTGACACATATTAACTGGCTAAATCCACACAACAATCTTATGAGGCAAATTCTTTTAAAATACTCACTTTCCCAATATGGAAACAGGCATAGAAAGATTACTAATTGGTCAATCTAAGGTCAAAACAACCAATAAAAGTTAAAATTTTGAAATTTCATCTCACTTCTAGCAAGTACTTTATTAGATACAGTAGAGATTTCACTGAAATTAGTTAAGTCTAAATAGTTAAATAGGCTTTAAAAATTCACCTTGATGCTTCTGGCATCTTTACAAGGCTGAGGTGGAATGCAGCCCACACAAGCTGTCTGCCTAAAAGATGTACTATATGTTACAAGATGGCTAGCAACAGGAACACATTACAGAAACACTGCAGATCACTTTATCTCACTGTGCCACTGTAGGCAGTTGACAGACGCATGCAGGTCTGAAGAATGTCTCTATCACATTAGAACAATTTGTTCTCAGCTAGATTCATGCCTGCCCATCTGTAAAAGCTAGCCACTTTCATTTAAGAGCTTAATTTACACCATGACATAACAGAAGCTGTGTGTTAAACCATCACTTTTCCACAGCAGTTCTAAAATATGCCAGGATGTCTGGCACAAGGTATCAGCTCAAGGACACTCATGAAAGGAGGAGGGTGTCAGAAAATATAAAGGATAAAAATATGAATTCACTACACATAAAAATCTCATATTCAGATACTTCATCCAATTCACACTTGCTACTAAACAACAAACACATACACTTGTATAAAAATATAAGTGAAAAGATGTTTTTTGTTGTCGTTTTGTGGTGTTTTGACTCAAGGAGAAATTCAACTGTTCTAATTTTAAGTTAGATATTCTATATTCTACTCCAAGCTGCTTAGTCTGGCAAATGAAGAGCTAATATCATCTGTGTAGCAGGCTAGCATAGTATGATCTAATTTTGTATCTTGTGACTACTATAACTTAGCAGTTTTCCCCTTCCAAATTAAGGGCTTTCATTTTAATCCTAACAGTGTTCATAATGCCTTTCCCAACCCTAAATCTTCCTAGCAATGTAACTCTTTACTGTATTCATCCCCTAGAGTTCTCCTATGAATGTCAATAATCAATGACCCACACAATCATTTTTAAAGAAAGTAATTATTAAAGAAACCTAAAGCAATAAAACCTAAAGCAATCAATTTATACATTACAAATAACTTAGTATTCGGTACTAGTGAAAACTGTCCAGTGTCCTCTGTTTTGGGAAAGAGTAATTTTCTCTCATCTTTGAAGAATCTATAGGCTTTTCAATGCAACCCAAAGGATACCTGAAATTCTCTGCAGCCTCTGTACTGGATAATGTTGTTGAAAGGATATATGCTTTCAAGCAGCCTCATAGGTCAGAGCCCCATATAATGAGGCTCTCTAGACCCTTCTAAAACCCACATTCAGTTAAGATTTAAAAAACACTAAAGGTGAACTGAAATATATTCCCAAAGCAGTACTATCATAGAAAGCAATTAATATACATCAGCATCGGTACAACTGTTTTTAAGTTACCAAGTGTCTAACTAGAATTATATGGATTGATCTGATTAGTCACTCATACAATAAACATTTATTGGACCATGTGCCAGGCAGTGGACTAAGTGCTAGGGTTATAAGCACTGTCAACTTTAGTAACCTTTTTCTTTTTCTGAAAGCAGCACTTAACAATTCTCAGAGGTGCAGTCACTCCAAAACTATAAGAAAATTCAACATCAACTCTACTATTCTCCTTTACTGCAAACAGGTAAATTAGCTTTTACACCTAATTTCACTCTGGAATTTAATCAAATGACATGTGCACACAGGAGTGCACAGACATACTCTCGTTCCCCATAAGCATGCCTTTCCTATTTCTTTTTTGTTAAGTACCTCCCAAAAGACAGAAGACTAAAATATGAAGACTTCAGGGCCAGGCGCAGTGGCTCACACCTGTAATCCCAGCACTTTGGGAGGCCGAGGCAGGTAGATCACCTGAGGTCAGCAGTTTGATACAAGTCTGGCCAGCACAGTGAAACCCCATCTCTACTAAAAATACAAAAATTGGCCGGGCGTGATGGTCACGCCTGTAATCCCAGCACTTTGGGAGGTCGAGGCAGGCAGATCACAAGGTCAGGAGATCGAGAGCATCCTGGCTAACATGGTGAGACCCCGTCTCTACTAAAAATACAAAGAATTAGGCAGGCGTGGTGGCGGGCACCTGTAGTCCCAGCTACTCGGGAGGCTGAGGCAGGAGAATGGCATGAACCTGGGAGGTGGAGCTGGCAGTGAGCCAAGATAGTGCCACTGCACTCCAGCCAGGCTGACAGAGCAAGACTCCAGCTCAAAAAAAAAAAAAAAGCCAGGCATGGTGGCAGGCACCTTTAATCCTAGCTACTCGGGAGGCTGAGGCAGAATTGCTTGAACCCAGGAAGTGGAGGTTGCAGTGAGCTACGACCGTGCCACTGCACTCCAGTCTGGGTGACAGAGCTAGACTCCATCCCAAAAAAAGTTAAAAAATTAAAAATAAATAAACAAATGAAGACTTCAAATATCAAATTTAAAACTCTTAGAATATGGATTTGGATGATTTTAAAAATTGGTCTCACTATTCTTCCCAATGCCCATTAATTCCAGGTGGTTTGCATAATTTTTTTAAAAAAGCAAGAGTCCTGAAATGGAGAACTCTCTTTCAAATATCCCTAAAATGTACTTAAGAACTTGAAGTAATCTAATGCTCTATTGCCTAGGCGGAAATGCAGTGGTGAGATCACACCTCACTGCAGCCTTGACCTCCCAGGCTCAAGCAATCCTCCTACCTTAGCCTCCTTGTAGCTGAGACCACAGGCAAATGCCACCAAGCCCAGCTAATTTTTTCTGTTTTGCAGAAATGGGGTCTCCCTATGTTGCCCAGGCTGTAAATCTAATGCTTAATAAACTTAACCTAAAGTCTAGCTTTGTAACAGTCTTTCCTTTATTTTCTAACACCACTGATATCTGAATATTTATAGATACGATGACAGAGGAGTAAAGGTCTCTCAGAAGGCCTGATCTCAATGTTGTAAACTCAATTCCCACTCATGCTAATCTACAGAGATGTAGCTGTAATAAATGATGAATTATTAATGTCCTTGATATCATGTGGAGCCAGAGGTGCCATTAAGGTACTTGTTTAGTACCATCAGGGGTAAATTATTTATAGGATGTAAAGAACAATCACAACAGTTGGAAGAGAAAATCAAGTTCAGCAAGCTAATTGCAACGAAGTCCTACAGCAACAGAAATGGAAGGGTTTTCTTCTGCAGTCACACGTACATCTGAATCATCGATTTTGTTTTCAAGAATATGCAGCAATAA